GTAAGCTTTCTGTTGTTTCTCTTGTTTCTGTTGTTGATGATGTCCAGCTTTAATCTGTAGTAGTCAGATAGGATACAGGGTGTTATTTCAATTTTCTTGTATCTGTTAAGACTTTTTTGGTGTCTAAGTATGTGGTCAGCTTTGGAGAACATCCCATGAGGTGCTGAGAAGAAGGTATAGTCTATTGTATCTGGATGAAATGCTCTGTAAGTAACTGTTAGACCGTTTGGTTTATGATGACAGCTAGCTCCAGTACTTCTGCTTAGGTTTTGTCCGGATAACTGTCTATTTACAAGGTAGGGCACTGAAGTCACCCACTATCTGTGTTTGAGGGTCAACATGTGATGTATGCTGTGGTACTGGATTTTTTTGTGTGTGTGAACTTGTCTGGTGCAGAGATGTTAAGAATTGCCGTGTCCTCTTGGTGGGATTTTTCCTTTGATGAGAATGGAATATTCTTTCCCATTCTTTCTGACTACTTTTGGTTTAAAATCTATTTTGTTGGATATTGAAGTGGCTACATCAGCTGCTACTTGGGTACATTTGCTTGGAATATTTTTTCTCCTTTTATTCTGAAGTGATGTCTATCCTAATGTTAAGGTGTGTTTCTTTTGGGGCATGCAGGGAGCGTCAAGATAGGTTCTTTCTGTGTAATCCTGGCTGTTCTGGAACTCTTTCTGTGGAGCAGGCTGACCTTGAACTCACAGAGATCTGCTTACCTCTGCCTCCCGAGGGCTGGGGTTTAAGGAGTACACTACCACAGCCTGGTAAGGTGTGTTTCTTGGATGTAGCAGAAAGATAAATCCTGTTTCAACATCCAATATGTTGGTCTATGTCTTTTTGTTTGGTTTTGTTTCTGAGACAGGGTTTCTCTGTGTAGCTTTGGAGCCTGTCCTGGAACTCCTTCTGTAGACCAGGCTGGCCTCTAACTCACAGAGATCCACCTGCCTCTGCCTCCTGAGTGCCAGGATTAAAGTCCTGTGCCTCCACCGCCTGACTTGGTCTATGTCTTTTTATTGGGGAACTGAGATCATTGATGCTGAGAGCAGTGTTCCTTGATTCCTGCTATTTTGTTCTTGTGGTGTGTCTCCCCCACCCTCTCTTATTTGCTGGTCTGAGATTATTTATTCCTTGTGTTTTCTTGGGTATGATTAGTTTCTTCACTTTGAAATTTTTCTTCTAGTGCCTTCTGTAGTCTGAATTTGTAGATAGATACTGCTTAAATTTAGTTTGATCATGGAATGTGTTTCTTTCTCCATCTACGATAGCTGTAAGTTTTGCTGAGTAGTCTGGGATCTCTTAGAGTCTGCAACACATCTGTCCAAGTCCTTCTGGCTTTTGGAGTCTCCAATGAGAAGCCAGTGTTATTCTAATGCTTGTAAGTTATTGTTGGGATGCTCTGTGTAGCGCCCATCGGTTGAAGAAAGAAGATACTTCAAGATGTAATTTTAAGGTCATCACGGCAGCAGGCAGGTGCACTGTCTCTGATGGACGGAACCGGAACAGCCACACAAAGGTGTATTTACTGATTGTTACACAAAGCATTTCCTCATACAAGGTCCCTAATCTAATTTACACATCTTACTAACAGAAAGCATCACGTGCCCCCATGACTCTAGTCCTTTATTATGTATCGTTTGCAAAACACAATAATACAGGAGACTCAGGTGTGCCTGAGGCACCTTGTGACCAAAGTCATGGGATGGCTGCAACGCCCCTTCAGTAATACAATTCTACAAATCACTGTTTTCCACAAGGATTCTTTACCTTTTACCATTAGGGTTCTTCAAGGTCAAAGTACCTCTAAAAGGCAGCTGCTTAAATCTAGTATCCCCCCAAGACAGTAACTCTGCTAAATTCCTACAACATGTGACTTAGTCTTTTTCCTTGCAACAATTAATATTCGTTCTTTGTTCTGTGCATGTAGTATTTTGACTGTTAAGTGCCAAGTAGAATTTCTTTTCTGTCCAGTCCATTTGCTGTTCTGTATGCTTCTTGGACCTTGATAGGCATCTCTTCTTTAGGTAAGGGAAGTTCTCTTCTAGGATTTTGTTGAAAATATTTTTATGTCTTTGACCTGAGTTTCTTCTCCTTCTTTTGTTTCAATTAATCAAAGGTTTGGTCTTTTCACAGTGCCCCCGATTCCCTGGATATTTTGTGCCTAGAGTTTTTTAGGTTTAACATTTTCTTTGAATGAGGTATTCATTTTTTTCTATCTTGTCCTCAATGCCTAAGAGTCTCTCTTCCATCTGCTCTAGTGCAGACATATTGTCATGTTGGCTATTACTATGTTTTTGTGCTGGTGTATTGGGAAGATTGTAATTCTCGGTGATATCTGATATCTGGTCTGATCTTTGTTGGGTAGGTGTTTTGTCTCTTGGCTTCTGTTTCCCTCTCTGGTTTTTAGGAGAGTGTGGTGGATGTGTGTTGCCTGGAAGAAAAATTTTTCGGGGGGTTCCTGGTAGGTGTGACATCTGGGGGTCCCTGGTATAATGTGTTTCTAGGTATTGGGAGCTGTTACTTAGGAATGGGGATGGGCTAGAAGGACTGAGGGGGTCCACAGGAGGGAGGAAAACAGGGTGTTCTGTCAGGATCTGCTTAGTGGCTGGGATGGGGGTAGAGAGTGAGGAGAGAGAGACCATAGTATGTGGTCTGTTGTAGAACTGGGGATGGGGCGGGGGTGAGCAGGGATTGGATTTGGAGGAAAGCTGGCAGAGAGTGAAGGTTTGAAGCTTGCTTGCCTGCTTCATTGGCCTGCTGCTTCTCTGGCATTCTTCACCTGAGGGTTCCTGCTGGAGATGGGGAATGAGATAGGGGACGAGTTGGGGGAAGGAAGGTCAGAGGAGGAAATCTCTATGATCCACAGGAGATGGTGGCAGAGAAGGAAAGGGGGACCGAAGCAGTTCGTCTGCTACAGGTTGGGAGGGGGCAGGGATGAGACTGGGGGATGAGATTTGGAGGAGAGAAGGGTGAGGGGAAGATCCACAGTTTGCTTCCTTGCTTCTCTGCCCTGTGTGGCAGGCAGGTTCCCACGGAATGCCTGCGGGAGACAGGGGCTCTGTCTGTGTGGTTTTTTGAGACAGGGTCTCACTCTGTAGCCCAGGCTGGCCAGGAACTCATGATGATCCTCCTGCCTCAGTCACTTCTACTCCAAATTCTTAGATTGCAGGCATAGCCCACTACACTCTGCTAGAGATTATTTTTTTTTAACCTCACTTGAGTCTGAGCATTTGGTGTCCACACCTAAAAGAAGGTCTTAGTCAATACTAACTTTCCTGGCATCAACATGCAGTAAAAGGAAATGTCAACACATCCTCCCACTTAGAGCCTTTCTGCCTTCCAACTGTCGCTTGTGCCCACAGCCACCGCTCTCCCTTTAACCTGATATCTTAGTTTATTTACCCTCGTGCCTGTAGATAACAATGTAATAACCCACATCTAAGTATGCACCCACAAAACCTCACATCTGTGTTTATTTTTTTATTTTATGTGCATTGGTGTTTCGCCTACATGTATGTCTGTGTGAAGGTGTCAGATCTTGGAGTTTATAGACAGTTGTGAGCTGCCATGTCGTTGCCGGGAATTGAACCTCAGTCCTCTGGAAGAGCAGCCAGTGCTCTTAACCCTTGCCCCCGTTTAATTTTTATAAAGGAGAAGAGATAACAGACCAAAAGAGGATGAAGGACAAGAAACAAAAGGAAATGGAATCTGGTTAGATTGACCAGCGCTGCTGTTCCCCACGCTGTTGCAGAATGTTATTTTAGCCGGGCAAAGATATGTTAAATTTATCTTACTTTAATTGTATAAAGGCGTGTTGCTTTTGTTTACATGGCATTTGTTTAATTATGTGGAGATGTTGCATTTGTTTTACCTTGCCTGCCAAGGCACCTGACTGGTCTAATAAAGATTGCTGAGCGGCCAATGGGTAGGCAGGAGGAAGGATAAGCGGGACTGGTGGGTGGAGAGAATAAACAGGAGAAACGTGGGCTGGAAAATGAAGAACGAGAGGAGGAGGAGGAGAGAACGGGGGACACGCCAGGGGCAAGGAGCCAGACAGCCTCCGGCCAGACATAGAGACGCAGTGAAAGTAAGATATACAGAAGGAAGAAAGGTAATAAGTCCCAAGGCAAAAGGGAGATCAGAAGAAACATGTTAATTTAGTTAAAAGAGCTAGCCAGAAACGTGCCTAAGTCAGGCTGAGCATTCAAAACTAGTAAGTCTCTGGGTCATGATTTGGGAGCTGGTTGGTGGCCCAAAAAGAAAGGAACTCTGATACACACTCACCAGTGGATTTTCTCTTTCATGGAAACGGATGCCCCGTTGCTGCCTTCCACAGTGCTCTCAGGTTTTTTTTTTTTTAATTCTTATTTTATGCGTATTGGTGTTTTGCCATGGGTGTTGGGTCTCCTGGAACTGGGGTTACAGTTGTGAGTTGCTATTTGGGTGCTGGGAATTGAACCTAGAGTCCTCTGGAAGAGCAGTCAGTGCTCTTAACCACTGAACCATTTCCCTAGAACCCGTACCCCCACACACACCCAGACGCACGCGCGCGCGCGTGCGCGCGCGCGCACACACACACACACATTCATTTTTGTGATAGCTGTTCAGGGTTGGGTTAGAAAGTCCATTCTGTGACGGCCTTCCTTCTGTATAGAAAAGTGATCCTACAGGCAGAGGCAAGCAGATATCTACGAGTTTGAGACCATCCTGGTCTTCACAGTAAGTTGCTGGCCAGCTGGCCAGACCTCATCACAAAACAAGAAAGAGAGAGCGAGAGAGAAGAAAAGTGAACTTTTGGGAGTGTCACCAACTCTGGCATTGCCATGACTCAGTCATTTAAGTAAGCCATCCACCGGGTGGAACAAAAGCCCCTGGAGAGAAAGAAATAGGAAAGAACAAAAGCATACGTTAGATTTCTTCCTTTCCCAACTTGTGTTTCTAGAAGGCTCACTTGGGGACAGCTTCCTGGTGCTGGAAAACCCTGACTATTATCTTTGAACATGAGTGCTCGAAGGGAGGAATTACAAGACCGGGCCATCGTCAAAATAGCAGCTCACTTACCAGACCTCATCGTCTACGGAGATTTCTCTCCAGAGCGGCCATCAGTGAAGTGTTTTGATGGAGTTCTGATGTTTGTTGATATTTCAGGCAAGTGCCAAAGGAATGCTTGCTTAATCGCCCTGTGGGTGAGCAGCAGGCATGCATCAGAAATCACACGCAGGTTGTGATTGCAGCGCCGACACCGTTTTCAAACCCTTAGGCGGTAGGGCAGCTAGTGCACACGGGAAAGAGAATGACCTCTTCCCCCAGGTGTCTCCCATCTCCCTTCCCCCAGCTTTCAGTCACAGGCATGTCTTTAAAACACTCAAGTTCCCCATCTGGGACTTCTGACTCCAGTGTCCCTGCCCCAACTTCACAGCCTCTTCACCCAAGTCCCACGCACACCCCTGACAAACTCAGGAGATGATCTACTGTATTTACATCCTCATACAAAACGTGCCTTATTAGAAGAATTTGAAAAATTGGTGGTCTCTAAACCATGGAAGAGAACCTTTCTTTCCAACAATATGCTGCTGTCACTGTGTACATGGGGACCTGGGAAGAAGGGCTGGCATCCTCTGCCCGCCAGCCTTCGAACTGCTGCCTGGCTAAAGCCTGGCACTCTTAGTGGAGCCCACTTTGGGCCGGCGGAGCCCTCTACTGGCTCTGCCCCGCTCCCAGGAAGCCAGCTGCAGTTTCTTTCAGGTTTTACTGCGATGACGGAGAAGTTCAGCACAGCAATGTACATGGACCGAGGGGCCGAGCAGCTGGTGGAGATCCTCAACTACTACATCAGTGCAATAGTGGAGAGTAAGTGTCCTCATGGGGGTTTGCCTGAGAGCATTTCAAGTCCTTTTTTTGTTGGTATATGAATAGTAGAGTATCATGACTGAGAGTTCTTCATCCTCCGCAGGAAATACATGTGCCATGCTTCTGGTGTTTTGTTTTGTCTTGTCCATTTGACACAAGCTAGAGTCATCTGGGAAGAAGGAACTTCGATTGAGAAAATGCCTCCACCAGGCTGGCCTGTTGGCAAGTCTGCGGCACAGTTTCTTGATTAGTAACTGGCACGAGAGTTCCCTGCCCACTGCGGGTGCTGCTAGCCCTGGGCAGGTGATCCTGAGTTGTATATATATATATTTTAAAAAGCCATCTGGGTGAATCATGGGAACAAGCCAATAAGCAGTACTCCACCATGTTCTCTGTTTCAATTCCTGCCTCCATGTTCCTGCTTGAACTCTTGCCCCGACTTCCCTTCATGATGAACTATAAGATATAAGCTAAAACAAACTCTTTCCTCTCTCAGCCCTTGTGGTCATGGTGTTTATCACAGTAAGGAAAAGCCAACCAGGACAGTCATCAGTATTTTTAACATAATAGATTACCACTAAATGAATGTGGTCAAGCCTCACAATAAGACTACATGAGGGAAAGTATGTTTTATGTTAAAGACCTGAGTCTACAGCCAAGGCTGGCCTGGAGTTTATTCTATAGCTATGACCTTGAACTCAAGGCAATCAATCCTCTTGCCTCAGATTCCCAATACTAAGAGTATAGGAATAAGCCGCTGTAACTAGGCTGATTGTAATATGATTGATAAAAAAAAACAACCCAGAGTGCTGTGTCCGCATGTATGTCTGGGCATCATGTGCATGCCTCGTTCCTACAGGCCAGAAGAAGGAGTCAGATTCCCTGGACCTGGAGTTACAGATGCTTGTGAGCTGCCATATGAGTGCTGGGATTCAAACCTGGTCCTCTGAAGAAGCAGCCAGAGCTCTTATCCTTAGAGATGTCTCTCTAGCCCCAGGCTCATGCTCCCTAAAAGTAGAACAAAACCTATAACTCTAAGACTTAGGAAACAGATGTAGAAGAAACATAATTGTGAGGCTACCTGAGAAAATAGTGACTTCCAGCTATTCTAAGCTATGAGACTTGTCTCAAAACCCCCAAATCATACTGGAAGTGTATTTTCTCAGCATGCCACCCAGGCTTGAGGCCCTGAGTTCCATTACTGGAACATGTAGCATGTGTTTTACACACACACACACACACACACACACACACACAACACACACACACACATGGTGGTGGGAGGGAGAGGGAGGAAGAGAGGAGATGAGGTGGTGGCTCACATCTGTAATACTAGCACTTGGGAGGCTGAGTCTGGAAAATAGTTACATATTCCAATTCAGTCTAGGCTATATAGTGAAGTTTAGGTAAACCTGCCTTACACAATGGGACCCAATCACAAATTCAAAGAACTGGGGAGGGCTTAGCTGTTAAGAGCGCTTGCTGCTCTAGCAGAAGATTCAATTCCCATACCCACATTGGGCGGCTCACAACTGCCCATACCTCCAGGTCCAGGGGATCCAGTGGTCTCTTCTGGCCTCTGTAGGTACCTGCATGTGCATGATTGCACACAGACACACAACACACACACACACACAATCTAAATCTCCAAATCACAAATCACAGAAAGGGCATCTAATTTGTTTTTGCATCCCACTTGGCACAGCAGTCACTCGGCATTTTGTGGGATACTGTTAAAACCCAGAGGTGGGCAGGGGCAGGAGTATGGGTGGGGAGGATCCTTTAAGGCCTAACTTGCCTAACATGCCCTGTGTTTCAGCCCCAGCACCAAAAAACAAACCAGCAAACACAAATCCCCACTTAGACCATAGTCTAAATTTCTAAAGCAAATGGCAACAAATAGAACCCACTTCCTTCCTCCTGTTCCTGTGGAGTCTACCAGCCTATGCTCCTTAAAGGCTGGCAAATAGAGTATTCTTATACACCAGCAGAGGGAGGAGGGCCAGTATTCTTAGGCCCTGTGGGGAACTCCACCCTTCTGTTTCCTGGTTTGTTTGATTTTTATTTTCTAGAGCATGGACACAGGTTGGCTGTGGCGCTCGCTGGACTGCAGCCAAGGAGGCAGGCTACACAGAAGTCATGACAGATCATGCTTTTTAGAAAAAGTGTAGTCTCTGAATTGTTATTCTCGCTACCCTGTTTCTACCTTTCTTCTGTTTTCCTCTGAGACAGGGTCTAAGGTTTAGCTATGTAGCCCAGTCTGAGCTCACACTCACAGTGATCCTTCTGACCCAGCCTCTCCAGTGCTAGGATGACAGGCGTGTGCCGCCACGCTCCCAAAGCCACTTCTGTGTCACCAATGAGTAATGTCCACTAAAGAGTCAGTTTGACTTAACTTTTTCTTTTCTTTCTTTCTTTTTATAGAAGTGCTGATTTTTGGAGGAGACATCCTAAAATTTGCAGGTACAGAAGCTGACTGAGTCAGGAAGGGTGGGGTAGGAAAACTGAGGTGCCTGCCCTGTCACAAAGGAAGGGACCTCAGGGAGTTGTGGCCAGGGAGTGGGTTGAGACACGTTTGCAGCAGCACCATGGCACTGATCTCCAGGGTGGGACTAACGCCCCACAGTGTCTCTCTTAAAGGTGACGCACTGCTGGCCTTGTGGAGAGTGGAACGGAAGCAACTGAAGAACATCATCACCGTGGTGATCAAGTGCAGCCTGGAAATCCACGGCTTGTTTGAGGCCAAGGAGGTTGAAGAAGGCCTGGATATCCGAGTCAAGATAGGTAAGTATCTGGAACTGGGCGTACACTTGTAATCCTGACTCTCAGGAGGCTAGAGCAGGAGGATAGCTGAGAGTTTGAGGCTAGCCCAGGTGACATATCAAGAGAACCTCAAAAAATAAGTGAAAAATAAACAGTGGGGAAAGAACAGACACTATAGCGTTGGGATCATGTTCCATCATGCTGTGATTGGAGTCAGGCTGACCAGAATACAAACTTTTGCTCACTCATTAACCATTTAAAAAAAACTTGAAGGCTGGAGAGATGGTTCAGAGGTTAAAAGCACTGACTGCTCTTCTAGAGACAGACCGATCTCAGCGAGTTCAAGGACAGCCTGGTCTATATAGTAAGATCCTGTCTCAATAAAAGAGAAAACAATGAGAGAAGCCATTGTTGGATGGACCATCTGGCTTTCAAATACCTATTTCTTCTCTTCACCCTTTAGTTATGGCCTAAAGTTAGACCTCAGGTTTGTTTTCAGTGATAAAATGAAAATTCTCCCCAAACAAAATGATAAAATGAAATAAATTCATGATAAAAATGAAAATTCTCTCCAAACAAATTATCGAGACTGTTTTCTGTTGCCTTAAATGTAAATTGAAGAAAAGGTTAAATAGCTCTGGAGACTGATAAAAACCCTTTAAGAAGAGTGTTATTGGTGGTGTATTCGTTTAATCCCCACACTCTACAGGCAGAGGCAGGTGAATCTCTGAGTTCAAGGCCAGCATGGTCAACAGAGTTAGTTCCAGGTCAGCCAGGGCTATACAGAGAAACCTCGTCTAGAAACCCAATTTTTTTCTCTCCCTCCCCCACCCCCGCGCAAAAAAAGAAAAAGTGTCACCAAAAGGTAAAAACGCGGAGTTATGTTCTTAGCTTTGAAAGAAGGAACATTTGGAACGACTGGGACCTGGAAGAGGCATTCTCTCATCTCTGTGTAAAATTTTAAAATGGGATTTTCTTAGGGGTTGTGTGGTCACATCAAGATTCTGATTTTCCCGAGATGCAGTGCTTCTGGGAAGCAACCCAGAACTTGTTGTGCAAACCCATTATTGCTTGTCTTCTTCAGGACTGGCTGCTGGCCACATCACCATGCTGGTCTTCGGGGATGAAACACGCAACTACTTTCTGGTGATTGGCCAGGCGGTAGATGACGTGCGCCTCGCACAGAACATGGCCCAGATGAACGATGTTATTCTGTCTCCAAACTGCTGGCAGCTCTGTGACCGGAGCATGATTGAAATTGAGAGGATTCCGGACCAGAGAGCAGTTAAGGTGAGAGTGTGGCCGCTGCCAAGTGTGTGCCAGCGGGCGAACTCAAAGGAGTCTGGGATAGCCAAAGGACACGCCCTGTGGGAGGAGCCAGGGCTGCTGAGCTCAAGAAGGAACGTCCTGTCCGTCTTGTTCCCCACCCTCCGTCTGCAACCCGAGGCCACGTGGTGACCTAGAGGCAGCAGACAGTTGTTGTAAGGTCCCATTCTCATTTGTTTGTGTTTAGTGAGACAGGGTCCCCAGTAGCCCAAGCTAACTTTGAAGTCATTACATAGCTAAAGGTGGCCTTAAACTACTGATCCTCCTGGGCTGCTGGGATTGCGATGTGTACCCCGGGAATGGTAGTGCTCATTTTCTCTACCCAACAACCTCCTAACACTGGTAGACTGTCAGCCATCGGCCAGATAAACCCCCATCTGTTTTTGCCTGGTGCGGTCACATTATTGGACTAAACTTCTGCATTTGGGGAGGTAGGAATACAGAGACTCAAGGATATTTCAGTCCCAGTGCATAATACTACAGAGTTCACGATTTTCCTGGGACCTTTTTAGGCTATAACACTTTTCGTTTTTAACACTCATAAGAAAGAAATGGGATGAGAATGGGAAGTCTGCACCCATATTTTGGTGTGTATAATAAGCTCTAACTCTGTATCATACTGCAGAAAGAAAGAAAAGAAGAGATAAAGGAAAGAGGAGGGGGAAGGAAAGAGGGAAGGGGAAAGAGGAGAAAGAAGGGCATATGGTCAGAGAAAGAGAAGAAGAAAAATCCTCAGGGTGGAAAAATATAAACAAGTGGCCCTTTGTGTATGTATACTGTGTATAAAAAGTAATTGGAAAAAAATTTAAACTTTCTTCTGTTCTTTTCTTTTTGAGCTAAAAACTGAATCTAGGACATATGGTCTAAGTATCTGTTCAGTATAAGCTATGCTCCTAAGCTTTTAAAATTTTAACAGCTTTTTTTTTTTTTTTTTTTGGACAGTACTGATGGACAGAACCACACACATGCTAGGCAAATACCCTATCTCATTGAGGTACAGACCCAGCTTTTTTATTTATTTATTTTTTCAAAACAGCATTTCTCTGTAGCACTGGAACCTATCCTAGAACTCACTCTGTAGACCAGGCTAGCCTCGAACTCAGAGATCTCCTGCCTCTGCCTCCTATGTGCTGGGATTAAAGGGGTGCACCACTACAGACCTCCTGGCTCCAGCTTTTTTTTTTTTTTTTTTTTGTATTTTCATTTTGAGGCAGAGTCTCACGAAGTAGCAAGTAGCCCAGGTTGTCCTTGAACATCCTTCATAGACAGCACTGGAGATCTTTAGATTTTTGATCTTCTGCCTCAGCATCCCATACCTGACATCACAGACCTGCACTACTGGCAACTGCAACCTGCCTCAATTCAAAAATTACACTTTACAACGTGCTGACATTCCTATAGCCCTAACGATGGAGAGCCTTGCCTTACAAATCTGAGACTAGCTTGAGCTAGTTAGCAAGACCTTATCTCAAACAGCAACAAACAAGCAAGTAAACAGGGCACAGGTGTAGCACAGTGGTGGAGTGCAAGGCCCTGGGTTCAATCCCCTTTATTGGGTCTGGCGAGGCTGTCTTACTGGACAAGCAATAATAATAATAGTGTTATTTATAGGGGCTTTGTGGCTGATACCTGTAATTCTAGCACCCGAGAAGCCAACACATAAGGATGGCCAGAAGTCTTGGGGGCAGCCTATGGTCCATCGTTCATTCTCAGCCACAGAGTGAGACCCTGTCCTAAATGTGCCAGTCACTGTGTGTCACGTCCTAGATATTCAAAAGCACACTGTTCTGCTGGGAAATGCTTTCCCAAGGTCACACAGCCCTCAGAATAACTGGAATATTACTGTTTGTTTTATTCAGGTTAGCTTCTTAAAACCACCACCTACTTTTAACTTTGATGAGTTTTTCACCAAGTGTATGACCTTCATGGATTATTATCCTTCTGGCGACCACAAAAGTAAGTAGCCCCCACGCATAGACCCTTTGCCTCTGCAGTGGTCAGTAGAGACTTGAGCCAATCTCAGTGGCTCTGTGCCAAGTGGGTGCACTCCTTAACACAGCTCTAGCCCTTGACTTTGACATAAAGGAGATGAACTAACTTCCCCAGAACAGCAGCTCTGAGTACCTAGCCATCTTCCCTTTCTGGGCACCGATTCCCGTCTATCTTCTTCCATACGCTATCAAGATAAAATGCAAAAGATCTTTGGCTCCAATTTACCCTCAGAAAGCTCCTAGGTTTCTCGATTTGTGTCACGTATTTATCTGTTCTTGCATTCCTTCGTTTCATTTCCCAATAAATAGGCTTTGGGTATGCTTTGGCGGGTATGTTTACCTACTCTTCTAACTTTCATTTTAAACTTAATTTTTAAATTTACTTTGGGGGAAGGCAGCATTTCATCACGTACCCTAAACTGGCCTTGAACTCTTATTCCTCCTGCCTCTTCTTCTTGACTTAAACTTGTCTTATTTCTCCGGCATCCAGTTTCTTCCTTCTTCCCTGTGTCTGAGAATGTGTCACATTCACTGTCTACTCCATTGACTAGAGTCTGGTGATCTTTTCATAGGCTTTGTCTTAGGTTGACCATAGGTGGCTGAGTTTGGATGTTATTGCTATCTGGAAGTTTTAATTTAGTTTCTTTACAGTGCTTTGTGTTCTACCTATGCTCTCAGCCCCTGCCTTGACTGGGTGGCTAACTTTGGGTTAATTGCCCCCCACAGCCATGTAAAGGATCAAACCTAGGGTGTTGTGCCCGATAAGCAAGTGCTTTACCACTGAACTCCACGCCATGCCCAAATACTCTTGCTTTTTCTTATTGTTTTGTTTTCTGTCTGGAGTAGCCCCGTCTGGCCTCATACCCTCTAGGTACCAAAGAATGATCTTGAACCGCTGATCCTTTTGCCTCCACCTTCAATTACCAACACATTCCAATGCATATGCCAGACACAGTTTAGTGAATTATAAATAAAGGGATGCAAGAGCCAATAAACATATAACACAAATAGATATGTAGACACTCAAAGAAGTTTGAGGGCAAGCAGGAGTCAAAGATGCTTTCTATTTTGTCTTCCTGGTGTTTGAAAAATGGTGAGAATCAGTGGTTCTGGCAGGAAGATGGCTGGGTGCTTGGAACTGCAGTTCTGGAAAAAGGGAGCAGCAAGCTGCCACACCAGTATGGCTTTGGTTGTTACTGTTCGTTCAGCTTTGTATTCTTTCTTTCTTTTTTTTTTTTTTGTTTTTTTGTTTGTTTGGTTGGTTTTTGTTTTTCAGGACACAGTTTCTCTGTGTAACAGTCCTGGTTATCCTGGAACTCCCTTTGTAGACCAGGCTGTCTTTGGTTTCCTTTCCCTTCCTTAAAAGTTGAGGAAATTGGAGTTCTGTCCTTAACTTCCTAGTCTTCTCTATTCAGTTCTCAAACCATTCACACCAAGCTCCCATATGACTACAGTGAAGCCCCTAAGAAACCTGCAGTGCAGAATTCAAGATCAAATCCACAAGTAAGAATCATTCTAAGGCTGGGCGGTGGTGGCGCACGCCTTTAATCCCAGCACTTGGGAGGCAGAGGCAGGCGGATCTCTGTGAGTTCGAGACCAGCCTGGTCTACAAGAGCTAGTTCCAGGACAGGCTCCAAAACTACAGAGAAACCCTGTCTCGAAAAACCAAAAAAAAAAAAAAAAAAAAAAAAAAAAAAAAAAAAAAAAAAAAAAAAAAAAAAGAATCATTCTAAGTTACAAAGCATTTTAGTTCAGTCCTGGTACTGAGTCACATTCAACTGAATTTAGAGAAGTCCACAACCTGTAAGAACCCTTGTGTGGATTTCCCTTGACCGTGTGTGTGTGTGTGTGTGTGTGTGTGTGTGTGTGTGTAGAGTGGTGGGGAGGAGGGGTCGCATTTCAAGACAGGATTTTCTCTATGTAGACCTGGCTGTCCTGGCTTAGAACTCACTCTGTAGACAAGACTGAACTTAGAGATCCTGCCTCTGCCTCCCCTGTGCTGGGGTTGAAGGTGTGCACCACCATCACCACCACTACCACTACCACTACCACTACCACTACCACTACCACTACCACCACGACAACCCAGTTTACCTTGGCTATTTTTGACCATCGGTGTCCCAGGGTCTCCTGCCCCAGGGAGTGGAAACAAGAAGACTATCTCTAGCATTGCTGAGCCTGCACTCTCCTTCTGTCCTCTTAGACTTCCTGAGGCTTGCCTGCATGCTGGAATCTGATCCTGAACTCGAGTTGTCCCTACAAAAGTATGTCATGGAAATCATTTTGAAGCAGGTATTTTCATAGTTCAATGTGTTCATCTTTGAGGTGTCAGCAATCTCTTCAACCGCAAGAAAGACAAAATAGTGAACAGAACACAGAATTTATTAAAACTGTTCCTAAATAAAAACATATATTTTTTTGTTGGCTCAACATGTAGGTCTTACCTCAAAGAGAAGTGACAGTGGTTCTGGGACACAGTGTTGGAGGAGGTGCAGGCTGCGTTCCTGCCACCTGGCTTCTGGCCGCTTTGCTAGCTTATGCCCCAAAATAACAACACACAAATTGTATTCTTTTAAACACTGCTTGGCCCATTAGTTCTAGCCTCTTAATGGCTAATTTTTACATCTTGCCTAGCCCATATTTAGTAATCTGTGTAGCACCAGTCTTACCGGGAAAGATTCAGCATGTCTGACCTGGCGGCTTGCTTCATCGCATCTGCCCTGGAGAGCAGAAGCATGGCGTCTTACCTCACGTCCTCTTCCTCCCAGCATTCTGTTCTGTTTACTCCACCCACCTATGATCTAACCTATGAGGCCAAGCAGTTTCTTTATTAATTAACCAATGACCTTCCCACATCAACACAGATTCAGGTTGTCCCAAATAATGTGTTACAACATAGAAAGTCTTTCATGGACATAGCACAAAAGAGTCATAAATCAAGATGGTTTTCAAATATATTGGTGAAAATATCAGGTAGGCAGATGACAGCAGAGTGTCATAGGTCCCATGTTTTCTGATATTGTTCTTAGTTTGACGGTTGCCTAGGAGATCTGTTAAATTAACATATTCCAAGGTTTTCACTTGATAACTGAAAAGATGTTAGGCTACTCAAGATAGGCAATGGATGGCTACTAAGGGGCTATTATGTGCTATCTAAAGATAGACCAGATCTGGATCTGTAGCAGTCCAACTCTCTACAACCATGAAGTGCTAATCAATCCGTTAATCTCCTTTGCAGAATCTTTAACTGGATTTTCTGGGAATGTCATTCCACATTCTTCGTGTATGGATGACTTCAAAATTTAGTATCCAAATCAGGGTATTATTAAAAGTTAAGGGAGGTGTGTGGTCCAGGGGTAGAGCCTCTGCCTTGCCTGTGTCAAGCTCTGGGTGCCACCTCTAGCATTGTAAATCACAGAGTGAGAAAGGGAAGGAGGTGAGGAGAGAGAGGAGGGACACAGTTAAAGGAGGCATAAAGGAGGCTTTGTTCATAAGTACACCATGGCAGCAAAAAGAAACTTGGGTTACCAGACGTCCGGACCTGGTCGTGTGTCTCCAGGTCCTTGGCATTGTACTCAAACTGTAGGCATGAGCACCCGCAGATTTACAGTGCAGCAGGGAAACTTTCCAGAGTGAAGTGAAAGTATAGATCATAACATGCTGCGTGGGAAAAGCAGGCCACATAAGTAAAAGAGTGCTCTGGCTATTGCTTGGGGCTTCTTTTTATGGGGCTCAAAAGGAGGAGGAGGAGTTTGATTGCTAAGCATTGTGATTTGGGTAGGTCTCTATTTTAAGTGTCAGGTTGTTATATCACAGGTACTGCACAGATTTCTTCTCATAACTCCTCTGATTTTAGTCATATGCATGCCCATCTATGCATAGGCATAAGGTGGTAAATAATGGATTCTCCCTGAAGGTTTACTTAGAGGACACAGTTTGCCTGATTGACCAGTGTTGGCCAGATCCAGTCTGGGACAAGCAGCACCCTCACCCTGACCTCTGACATCACTGGAGCACAGCTGACTAGGATATGTCTGAGTTGATCAGTTTTTAAGGGAAGAAAAAGCTTTTTCCACTGTCTGGTGTAAAGTTGGGTATGTGTCTTAATTATTGTGGTGGTTCGAAAGAAAATGGCCACCAAAGGTTTGGAGCTATTAGGAGGTGTGGCCCCTTGTTGGAGTGGGCGTGGTCTTGTTGGAGGAAGTGTGTCACTGTGGAAGCTGGCTTTGAGGTTTCAGGTATGCTCAAGCCATGCACAGTGAGATAGACCACTTCCTGTTGCCTGTACAAGATGTAGAACTCTCAGCTATCTCTCCAGTGCTGTGTCTGCCTTCACGCCACCATATTCCCAGCCGCCATGCTCCTAGTCATGATGATAATGAACTAAACTTCTGAAATGATAAGCCACCACTTCAATGAATTGTTTTCCTTTATAAGAGTTGCCATGGTCATAGTGTCTCTTCATAGCAATAGTAACTCTAAGATAGTTACTTTTCTATTGCTGCAATAAACCTGACCAACAGGTTAGATCTATGATGGCAGAGAGGAGGTAGCAGTCAGCTCCTAAATGACTGTCACAGGTGACTACTACCAGTACCTGTAATTGTCCAAGAGAAAGTCTCAACTACAGCCTCCCCTACCTCAACAGCTAGAACCCATTAGCTACTGCTGCGGTCATTGCCTACAGGATGGAGTATAAGATGGGGCTCAGGAGTTGGTGAGGAATTTGGTGGGTAGAAACAAGGAATACTGTTAAAGAGGTAAATCTGGGGTGGAGCGCTGAAGGAAGGTGAAAGCTGAATCCTGGAGGACTTCGCCAAGGTCTGTCCTAGCACTGAAAGGTCATAGTTCCTCAGAGATGCTGTGGTCCTGTTTCCTCAGCCAAAAGTAAGAACATGTGATCTAACGAGACAATTTTTATTAAAAACTATTTGCAAATGTATTTGAAAAAAATCAATAGACTGGTTTGTTAAAAATCATTATCTTTAATGGAAAGAAAACAATTAAATGAACCCAACCCTGAGGCTAGACGAGGCAGTCAGAAAGCAAGATGACTTAGTCCTCTGTAGCAATTCTGCTTCCATAAGATGTGGTTTACATTGTCAGTGGAGAATCTGAAACCTTTGTGCTATTTGGACAGAAAGTACAGTGACTCTTCTTACCCCCACTGATTTGCAAAGCACTTAATTTAACAAAATTCAAGGCGAATGACTGGCAGGGATGATTTGGGAATTCTTCTCTATAGCCTCTCACAGGGTGGGAATGTAGAGAAAAGGAAGCCTAAGGAAAACAATAAAACAAAATATACTACGACAGAGAAGCACGTGCTATGTGAAATGCTAGAATCCAAAGTTGGGTTTTAATTTGCTACTTTCTATCAACATAACCCCAGAAAGCTGTATTACTTCTCTGTGCCTCTGCCATCTAGTCTAGAAAATGGAAGCACTATTGCTGGGGTTTGCATTTTTATCTGAAAATAGTGGGACAGAATCTTAAAATATTCCAGAAGGCACCAGGAGATCCAAGTACAAGGTTAAATGACATAGAATAATATTCTTCTACTTAACTGGGGGAAATCAGAGATCAAAAGGCAATAGTTCTTCCTGCGAATCCATTTGCTAGCCCGAGGGACTTGGTTGTTAGGCAATGGAGCCATTGCTGGCCGAATTAGCAACTGTGTAAATCTTCACTGATGAGTGATGTGTCTCTGCATGCGTGTTTGCTGGAATCAGTGGAAGAGATCTGGATAATGGGTCCTGTCATCTTCTCATTTTCCCATGGGCTGGCTGTGGATACCTCACAGTGTGACAACTTTGGTTGCCTCAGTGTCTCAAAAGGCCTTCTTTCCAGTGGTGACGTGGGGTGTGGGCTGGAGTGCTGCTGAACAGGATACACACTGCAGACAGCTGCCCTCTGCCTTGCAGATCGATGACAAGCAGCTCCGGGGCTATTTATCTGAGCTTCGCCCAGTGACGATAGTGTTTGTGAACCTGATGTTTAAAGAGCAAGACAAAGCGGAAGTCATAGGTTCAGCCATCCAAGCCGCCTGTGTGCACATCACTTCTGTCCTGAAGGTCTTCCGAGGCCAGATCAATAAGGTCTTCATGTTTGACAAGGTAAGTACGAACTACAGAGTAGGAAACCTACCCAGAAGTGTGAGATAAGCACTTAAGGCCACAGACATTGGCCAGGTAGAGCACACAAATGATTGGACACTTAACTTAGGATACCAGTCTTTATAACAGCTAATACATGGCCAACATGCCAGGGGCTCTTCTCAACATTTTACCTAGACTAGCTCATTTAAGCCTTGAGATTATTCTGTATTGTTTTTGAGACAGGGTCTTACCATGCAACTCTGACTGCTTGGGAACTTACTATGTAGACCAGACAGGCCTTGAACTCAGACATCTGCCTGCCTCTGTCTTCTGAGTGCCAGGACTAAAAGTGTGTGCCACAATGCATCGATACTCTTTTTACAAGATTTTCAAATCACATTTTATACGGGCATATGTATACATGAACATATGTGAACTAAGGTCTGCATGTGGCGGTCAGAGAACAATTTCCAGGTATTACTCTTCTTCCTCCATGTTGGTCTTCCTTGACTCACTGCGCCATCTTTTAAAAACATTTTTAAGTTAATTTTTACTTTATGTATATGGGTATTTTTCCTACATGCGTGGTGCCCAGAAAAGTTAGAAGAAAGAGCATCACAGCCCTTGGAACTGGAGTCATAGGTGAGTAAGAGCTATTATGTGGGTGCTGAGAACTGAGCCCAGGTCCTCTGTAAGGGCTGAGTTATTGCCCCAAACCAGCGTGCACACACACACACACACACACACACACACACACACACACACACACACGCCCCTCTATGGGCTTTTTTAAAGGCAGAGCCTCACTGTGTTCCAGGCTGTCCCGGCCCTCGGTATGTAGGCCAGACTTTTCTGGAACTCATAGAGACCTCTCTCCTCTGCCTCCTAGGACTGGGACTAAAGATGGGCATGTCCCAAGTCATCCTGACAGGTTCTGTCCCCAAGCTGGTGCCTTTCTCACCACCACTCTGTTGTGCCTCTTAGACTTGCACGTCCCATTTCAAAGTCCCAGGCCGTGTCCACAGGGAAGAGCAGACACGACTGCCCACCAATAGCTCAGCAGGAGCGATCGATCTCTGGAGCAAAGACAGAAGCTACACCACTGCTGGCGCCCTGGGAGCTCCCCGCTTTACCAAGCATAGGACAGACTTGGCAGAAACCGGGATGAAACCTGATTCGGAAAGGGAAGATTGCTGTGACGCTTCCTGGTGAGGCCATCAGCTGGGGCCCACTGATGCCGTGTTGCCCACTCTCCCTTACAGGGATGCTCCTTCCTCTGCGTCTTCGGTTTCCCTGGGGAAAAGGCATCTGACGAGATCACTCACGCCTTGGAAAGCGCCGTCGATATATTTGACTTCTGTTCTCAAGTCCACAAGATCCGGTAAGTGTCGACCCCAGTCCCACCTGGTATTCAGTTTTAACGGAACAGAGAGGGTGGGGCACAGGAGGCCGGAAAGAAGGGGAAGAGTGAATAACTTGGTCAGCACCTTGGACATTCTCTCCTTCGCATTTCTCAGCTGTGTATAACGGTCCTAGACGGAGTATAAAAAAATGGCTGTTTGTTCGAGACTGCCTCCCCTCCCCTTCCTAATGCCTTTCCCCACCCGTACCACATTTTCTATTCTCCTCATCTTTTTTGTAAATGTTTATTATTGTTCGTTCTCTCTCTCTCTCCTTGTGGCATCAGTACTGTCTCCATTGGCGTCGCCAGTGGGATCGTCTTCTGTGGGATCGTTGGACACACTGTGAGACACGAGTACACAGGTATGAAGACCCAACCTACTTCCGCTCTACTTTCACTATACAACATTGACATTAGGCTTGGTGAGAGATCTTTTAAAAAAGAAAAAAGTCAGGGGGAGGTAAGATATGAGCTCAGCCCTCGGGGTTTAGTCTTCCCAAGTGGAGCAAAGCCATGTCGCTTTGCCCACTGACAATGCCAGGCCTGTAGTGTGTGTGTTTCTGGTGCCATGGGTGAGCATAAAAAGTATGAAGTCTCTGAAGAGATGGCTCAGAGGTTAAGAGCGCTGGCTGCTCTCCCAGAGGTCCTGAGTTCAGTTCCCAGCACCCACATGGTGACTCACAACCATCTATAATGACTTTGGTGCCCTCTTCAGGCCTGCAAGTATACACACAGGCAGAACACTGTATACATAATAAATAAACCTTTTTTTAACTTTTTTTTTATTGAGAAAAGGAAAAAAAAGTTTCTGCCTCCTCCCAGCCTCCCATTTCCCTCCCCCTCTTCTCACCCTTTCCCCCCTTCCCCCACTCCTCTCCCCCTCCCTCTCCAGTCCAAAGAGCAGTCAGGGTTCCCTGCCCTGTGGAAAGTCCAAGGTCCTCCCCCCTCCGTTCATGACTAGGAAGGTGAACATCCAAACTGGCTAGGCTCCCACAAAGCCAGAACATCACTCGGGAGGCAGAGGCAGGCGGATCTCTGTGAGTTCAAAACCAGCCTGGTCTACAAGAGCTAGTTCCAGGACAGGCTCCAAAACCACAGAGAAACCCTGTCTCGAAAAGCTGAAAAAAAATAAATAAATAAACCTTTTTTAAAGAAAGTATGACTTCAGTCAGGGTTAGAGGATTGGCTCAGCAGCTATGAGTACTTGTTGCTCTTTCACTGGAACTGGGCTCTTCTCCCAGAACCCACATAGTAAATCATAACCATCTATAACCCCATTTCCAGCAGGCCTGGCCCCAGATGTCCTATTAGCCAGGTCTGGTTACTCAATGATTTCATCATCAGCAAGGTGAAGGGTCATGACGCAAGACAGGATGCCTGGTAGCCACATCAGAAGGAACAGGGGAGCTGGTATCTTATCCTTTTCTCAAGGTTTTGATGATAGATCCAGGCATATACGGGGGGAGGGGTACTAGGAACAGGGGGCAAGAAGTATATGAAGCCAGAACTGGCCAAACTGTGGTGTGTTCATTAGTCTCTCAGGGAATGGTTACTACTAGATCCCTATACCAAGACGATTGCCTGCAGGGCTCAGCATTCCTGGCATTGAGATAAATGCAGGAGGACTCACTCAAAGAGAAAGTTAAGCCATATCAGGGAATAGTGTGTCAGAAAGATATTTTTGGTCCCCATTACAAAATACCCCAGAAAACAGCTTGAGGGAGACATTGTGGTTTGGATGTGAAATGCCCCCTTGGCTTGTGTGCTTGAATACTTGGTCTTTAGCTGGTGAGACTGTTTGGAAAGCTGTGGGACCTTTGGGATTATGACCTAGCAGAAATGGTCCACTAGGGGCTTAAGGCCAGCAACAGTGATACCATGTCTCAAAACAAAACCATGGCTAGATGTGATGGCATACTCCTTTAATCCCCGAGACAGAGGCTGGCGGATCTCTGTGAGTCTACATATGAGTTCCAGACCAGCCAGATTACACAGAGAGACTCTGTTTAAAACAAACAAACAACACACACACACAGAATTATCAAACAATGTTTCATTCAGTAGACATACAACATTTTGAACCCTTACTAGTGATGCTCAACCTGTGGGTTACAACCCCTAGAGTCACATATCAGATATTCACTTTATGATTCATAACAGTAGAAAAATTACAGCTAAGTAGCAATGAAATAATGTTATGATTGGGGTCACCACAACATGAAGAACTGTATTAAGGGGTCACAGTATTAGGAAGGTTGAGAACCACTGCCTTAACCAACACAGTGCTGGTCTACTTCATCATAGAGGATAAGCTACATCTTACTCAACAGGCCTGTGGCTGTCTGCCCTACAAACACCTCTCTACATTTAAGGGCCCTCAGTCCCTAAACAGACCATCCTCTTGGTCTCCCAGGTGAGACAGAAACTTTGCTACTGGCTGTTGTTAACTGTTGAAGATTATTTGAAATCAGCACTGGCCAACTGAAGGCTAAATTCATGTGCCATTCACGACAGACAGAAGAAACAAAGGGGAAAAGCCATTTGGGGAGTTTCCTCAGGTTATGTGACTTTTACCAGCTTTTGTTTTTTCTCCCCTTTAACTTGCTCCTTCCTGTTGTAGTCATTGGTCAGAAGGTCAATATTGCTGCCAGGATGATGATGTATTACCCAGGCATCGTGACCTGCGACTCTGTCACCTATGATGGCAGCAACCTACCAGCCTACTTTTTTAAAGAGCTTCCAAAGAAAGTCATGAAAGGTGTTGCAGACTCTGGACCGGTGTATCAGTGTTTGGGCCTTAATGAGAAAGTGTGAGTGTAGTCACTGACGGTTTTTATATTTTCTAGTAAAGGGGAGATTTGATAGCAAAGGATCGGTCCCCCATTTGAGGTTCAAGACCATTTCATGAAGCCGAAATCTATACCTTCCCAGACCTGGGTCCACCTGGGTCCAGTCTTTAGCCAACCCTCATCTTTCTCCACCCTACTGATATAGCAAGATGAAAGAGGGCCATCTTCACATGGGCCTGAGAGATTGAGGGTGATTCTTCAGCGGCTGTGCAAACAGAACAGAGTCCTCTGATTTCAGTACATACCAGATGGACCTGGTCACCATTCAGTACCTCTAAGTCGCACCCCCAGTTCCTATATCACAACTACTGACATGCTTTACTTTTCCCCCACTGCACTGTGAGCCCAGCGAGGTTCGATACTGGGTATCTTTTGTCCGCCCTTCTAGCCCCTGGGTTAGGCACCAGCGAGGCTGGATTCTGAGTATCTTTTGTCCGCCCTTTTATCCCCTGTGCTAGGCACCAGGGAGGCTGGATTCTGAGTATCTTTTGTCCGCCCATCTCCCCTGTGTTAGGCACCAGCGAGGCTGGATACTGGGTATCTTTCATCCGCTCTTCTATCCCTGTGCTAGGCACACAGTAGGCCACAAACAGTGATGAATAAATGAATGGTGCATGAACGAACAACATGGAGAGTGGAAGCTGTTGCTCCAGGAACAAATCAGAATTTAAGTCTTAAAGAATCAGTCAACCAAGGCTGCAGTTCCTTCAGAAAGTTCTTCCTATTGGCTTTGTATTTCTGGGGCACAGCCCTCGGCGTTAGCACACACGGGTCATCACACGATGGTGCTGGACTAAGTGAATGGATAATGATAACTTTGAGTGAGCACTTATTAAATATGCATTCTACCTCAAAAATACTGTTTATTCGTATGTTTGACCATGTGATGTAGAAAGAGTTGTCTCAATTTTATAAATTAAAATGCTATTACATGACTCACCAATGGTCATCTCTCTCTAAAGCCCGGGAGCTGAGATTCAAAGTGCTGCAGTAACCCAGATTCACAGGCAACCATAAACCTCAGTGGGCCAAAACAGCAAACTTTTTTTTTTTTTTTGTACAGGGGCTCTAGTCACTGGCTTTGCTCACTAGGGCTGAGTTATATCCCCAACACAATTAACACGTTGTTTATTTTCCCCCGGGGAAATATGGACCACAGTTGATACTGTCACAATTGGGCTGATCTCATGCTGCTTCTTCCCGTGCCCGGGTTCAGCGGGGTTTTGAATGACCCAAGATGACATCAGCTGAGACCACTGGGGCAGCTGGGCTTACAGAACTGGAGCAATTTGGTCTCGTCCTCCACCAGGCAGGTTGTCACAGTCACGTGTGAAGAACAAGGGGCAGCTGGCTCATGCACAAGCCTCTTCCTCTCACGTTTGCTGACATCTGATTGGTCAGAGCACTTCCAAGGTAAATCCAGCACAGGAAGGCAGTGCCCAGCTAGACCACAAAGGGTGCAGGTACAGGGAGGGTAGGGAAGTGGGTCACTACATACAGACAACTTCCACACGAGCCCCAAATCCTTGCACTCTCCATGATCTTTCTGTACCACCTCTCCAGGAAAAAAAGAGTCTGGAGACAGATACAGCTATCAATAGGGCTTGGATCCTGACCTGAAATTTTTACTTTCTGAAGTTAGCTGCATATTGCACGGGAGAGTTTGATAGGTGCATATGACAGAGTAATATGACACCATCAGAGAATAAGACAAAGTAGCATGACAGAACAGAGAAGGGATGGTTCAAAGTAAAAACCACATGAAAATGCATATGCACCCTGACCTGTATTTAGACACTTGCCACCATGAGTTTCAGGATGCTGGGCAAGTTAAGCTCTCTTTAGCTCTCTTTAGTTTACTCATTTGTAAAATGGACATTAGAGTAGTACTTTCCCCCTCTGGGGTTTTGTTTGTTTGTTGTGTGTGTGTGTGTGTGTGGTTGTTTTTTTGTGGATTATTTTTGGCAGTACTGGGAATTGAACCTGAGGTGTCATGTGTGCTGGGCGAATGTTCTCCCACTGGGTTACAGCCACAACACAGGAGTCATATACTTACTAATGATACATATTAATTTTTTTGTCAGAACTAAAGGTACTGGTAAGAGAAAAGACAAAGTGTGAAAGCACTTACAGCTATGTTAGGCACATAGCGTGTGCTCAGCAAAGTCGAGGTCTTATTGAGCAGCTCATAACATGTCTCCAGGATATGAGGTTCTGCAGCACATCCAAGATCACTGGGCTCCATGACCCACCACCGAAGGGTTCCTGTCTACCAATGAAAGAGCAAGAACCATTTGCTGGATAGCGAGCCAGGCACTATGGTAACGGCTGGTACAGACAGTGTTTGGACTCTGTTACAAGTAGACTTTCTCTTCTCTCCCTTCAGTATTTGCAACCAAAGGGAGACTTGTTAGAGACCCACAGAAAGGTTTAAGACTAGTCACTTTTGCTCTCAGTGTTTCTGTTTTGAATCTAACATCTTTTCTCTTTCTCTTTTTTTCTTTAGCATGTTTGGTATGGCATATCTCATCTGCAGAAGACATGAGGGTTACCCTTTGATGGGTAGGTAGTGAACCGGGATTTGAAACTTTCTTTGTTTTTTGGGGGGGCGGGTGGGAGGCAACTAGAGACAAATTCAGGGTCTCACGCATGTTGTACAAGCTCTCGATTCTTCGAACTTCTTTATTGAACTCTAACAAGACATACAGGAAAAGGATACCAACGAGAAGAGCACATCCTAATGAATTCTGACAAAATGAAAATATACTCATAACCTAGGTCAAGAAATACAAATATAAAGCCGGGAAATGGCACAGTGTTGAAAGTATCTGCCATGTACACATGAGGACCCGAGTTCAAATCCCCAGAACCCACATACAAAGTTGGGCGTGGTTGCACATTTCTGTAACCCCAGAGCTAGTGGAGCCGAAACAGGTGGATCCCGGGGCTCACTGGCTGCAGAGTCTAGCCAGTGGGTGAGTCCTGGGCGCAGTAAGAGATATCCTGCTTGGAGATAAGTTAGAAGGTGATAATATAAAAGATACCTGCTGTCAACCTCTGGCTTCTCTGTCCATGAGCACATGTGCCCCCACATCTGTACATCTATACAGTGCACATGCGCACATATATACTCATACAAAAAAAAAAAAAACAAAGGAAAATAGCAATGTGTTAGGAATCTTCTCATGTGCCTTCCTGTTTCCTCCCTCACCTATTCCAATCCCAGGGCTCTAATATTCCAGGTCGTTTATGCTTATTTAAAAACATACACAAAGCTGGGCAGGGTGGTTTGCCACTTTCACGCCAGGACTCAAGAGGCAGAGACAAAGGGAGTCTGTGGTGAGCCTGGTTTAGATAGGAATTCCAGGTCAGCGGGGTTGACAGAGTGAGACCTTGTCTTAAAAAAACCAACGAATAACTTAAACCCAGCATGATGACTCCCCTGCTCTTCAGGACTCTGAGGTAGGAGGATCTCTTGAGCCCAGGAACTTAGGGCCACCGTGGGCAACACACAAAGGCCTTGTCTCTTGCACATCCAGAATTTATGCTCGGGGAATCATACTTTAAAATAGTGATTGTAATAGTGCCCATGCAAAAGGAGGAAGTCGAGGGTTGAACGTGCAAGAGATAGGGATGCAATGACAGGGCCAAGGCTGCTGCTGTGGGAAGAGGATGCAGAAAAGACCAGAGCAGCAGGGGCAGAAGAGGGAAGGGGGAGGCACTGTGTCTGCACGCTCCACCCCAGGAAACACCTCTGTGCCTGGCTCCCCTCCTAAGGTCAAAGGTTCTACGCCTGGCCCCTTTGCCTCCTTTTTTCTCCCCCCCCCCAGCTTGACTCCCCTGCCCAGCATGTTTATGGTCTAACCACCTACCTTACTGAGGATACCTGTCTGCCTTCCCTGCTTCTCCCCCGCCTCAGACAGCACCTCTCCCTCCGCTGGGATAGAATCTTTGATTCTTCTTTCTCCCCCTTCGAAAATACAAACAAAACACACACACACACACCACCACCACCACCACCACCACCACCACCACGGACTCCCCAGGAAGAGCCTGCGTCTGCAGGGAAGGAAGTGAAGGAGAAGGGCAGAGGGACCACCAGGGAAAAGGTTCACAAGTCCCTGGGAAGAAAGCCTAGGTCAAAGGTCAAGGGCAGAGTCTTCTGCCGCTCCTGGCCACTGTCCAGGTAGGGGGAGAAGGGGAGTGGGAGAAACAGTGAGAATCTGGATTCCACATCTCTATAACTAGTTCTTGCCTGGCATTTGGGCACAAAGCACAGAGTGGGCACACATGAAAATACCTATGTCCGCCTTTTACTTTGATTTTTTTTCTCCCGGCATGCTCTTTGTTCTGACACTGTCACTCGTATATCTACTTGTATGTACATATGTATATTACATATATTAGACGGAAAGCACATACATGCTTATTTTTCATTTTGTTTGATGGTGGTGGTGGTTTGAGACGTATCTTACACTCTGGCAATCTTTTACGCAGCAGTGTGTTATGGCATGTATCCATGTTGTTGGCTGTTCCTACGAGTCACTTCCAGTTATTACTATATCTCATGCCATTTTATAAATGTACCATTCATTTTTTTTCCTGGTATATAAGACTTGGGTCATTTCCAGGCTCTTACACGCAGTAATAAGCATTTTCTAATAGAAGACGAATAGCCTGGTGCGATCCCTGGAGTCTCAGCTCTCAGGAGACTGCCAGAGGACAAGACATCATCACAAGCACCAGCACAACCAAACAACAAGACAAATAAGCACGAATATGTATGTTCACCTAGTATTATGTAATTGTATACACACATGTGCATATACGCATATATACAAGTGATTTTGTCAGTACAAAGAGTATAATTTTGGTAGATGATACCATAGTCCTTCATCTTTGCCAAGAGCCGCTTCTGTCAGTCTTTAGGACTTGGAAACCCTGTGGGGTAGAGAATGGCCCCTTATTGTAGTTTCCACTTGTTATTGCTCTGGTGTGGTGAGTTCCTTTTTGTCTATTTATCCATCTTTTTTGTAAAATGATTATACAGATCTCTCTTATACTTTTCATTTGGGCTAATTTTTTTTTTCAAGACAGGGTTTCTCTGTGGTTTTGGAGCCTGTCCTGGAACTAGCTCTTGTAGACCAGGCTGGTCTCGAACTCACAGAGATCTGCCTGCCTCTGCCTCCCGAGTGCTGGGATAAAAGGCATGCGCCACCACCGCCTGGCTTGGGCTAATTTTTTTTTGAGACATGGTTTAGTTTGTATTTTTCTTGCTGTGGTGACTATTGTTGAGATGGTCCTTATAACCCAAGTTGGCTTTCAACTGTCTATATGCCTGAGGACAACCTTGAACTTCTGACCCTCTGGTCTCCAGCTCTGGAATAATGGTATTCCAAGCCTGTGCCACCACCACACTAGATGTTCTCTTTCTCTTTAAACATGGACCCCTTCCTAGATTTCTGTGTTATCTGTACATCTCAGGATCATTCTGTTTTCAATCATGTGCTTTGCCAAGGCAAGCGCTTCCCTGATATTTAATGAGCAGAATTCTTAACTGGAATGTAATTCTGCCTGTCGATCTTTTGTTTTTCACCTGTGTTTCTCTTTGTGCTATTTTAGAAATCTTTCCTCACCCATGTGTTTTGAAAGTATGTCTTACTTTTCTTCTAGAAATTCTGCTTTAATGTTTATATTTAAGTGTTTAAGGACTTAAGGGTGTAGGGTGGTGCACAGAGTTCAGTCCCCTGCCACCCCCACACACACTTTCATCTACAGTCTATGTAGAAGTGATGTAATTGGGATTCTTGGTGACAGGGACCTAACTCAAGTTGGAGGGGGAAATAGATCTAAAGGAGGCAGTAATACTTCTAAGAGCAGAGACTCAGTGTAGCCTGGATGTAGATTCTGAGGACAGTTATTTGGAGGAGCCCTTGCTGATCCCTTCTGTTAGATTTAACATCCCTGAAAGATGTATCTGAAGTTAAATCAGTCACACTGTATCATGGCCATTAAGAGGAGACTCTATCCCTTCCTTTGGAGGAATATTAGGCCAGAATTTTCTTTTTGTATGTGTTTTTGTGATTTTTTTTTCCAAGACAGGGTTTCACTGTAGCTTTGGAGGCTGTCCTGGAACTCACTTTATAAACCAGGCTGGACTCGAACTCATGGAGATCTGCCTGCATCTGCCTCCCAAGTACTGTGATTAAAAGCATGCACCACCACCACCTGGCTTAGGCTGGAATCTTAGTGTCTTTGCAAGAAATTGATAGTTCCTGAGCTGTACAGCCGCACTTGGGCCAAGAGAACCCCCCCCCCCGCCCCCTACTCTCAGGCTTGCACCTGGTAAACACAGACTCCCACACTCAGAGCTAGAGAAGGAGAGCACTCCCACTCCTGTAAGGACTTCTTTTCCATCCCTAGAGGTAGCGATGACTGAAAGATGGGGTCCTCATCCCCTTCTGCTGGACTGGCAGTGATCTTAGAACCCATGGGATGACCTGCAGACATTCCTCCGTTTGATGCAGATGATGAACCAGCCTCTTTAGGTCATACTCCACAGTCCTGGGTAAAAATCAGGTTCCCATTCTCAAAGCTATTATATGCAAAGATAAACTGCAGGAGGTCAGCAGTGTGGGAATGTTCTTCTTTGATAAGCATTCCTGCCCAAAAAAGAACTATGACAGAGGGCAACAAAATTACCTGGAAAAATATTAGGACCAAAAACAGTTGTAACAGTTGCTGTAGTAGGTTTTGTTTATCAATTATTTTGTTGTTTTGTTTTTCAAGATAGGATTTCACATTGCCCAGGCTGGCCTTGAACTTGCTACATAGCTAGACCTATTCTTGAGCTTCTAATTCTCCTGCACCCCTTCTAAGTGCTGGAATTACAAGCATGCATGAACAAGTCCAGCCAGGGCTTTGATTAGATAGAAATATGATGCATGGATTTAATAATAAGTTAACTTAAATCTCATTTTAGAAGCCTGGCACTGGTGGCACACGTCTTTAATCCCACCATTTGGAAGGAAGAGGCAGGTAAATCTCTGAGTTCAAGGCCAGCCTGGTCTACAGAGAGAGTTCCAGGATGGCCAGGACTGTTACACAGAGTCTCTCAAAAAAGAAAAAAAAAAAAAAAAAAACAACATTGCCCCCACCCCTACAAAAAAAAAACAACCTGTCCTTTTAGAATACAGTGAAAGTAAGTGTTCCATATAGCTAGTTCCAAGAAAGCTGGAGGATTTTATTACATGGCTCTTTGACTCCAGTCTTCCAAATGAGCCTCAAGTCTCAAAAGACAGCTCACACCACTGAAGTTCAGACGCATTTCCGCAAAAGGTATGTTTCGCTCAAGAGAAGCGATAGAATTTGCAGAGTAATTTCCATCAAACAATACTCAGACCTTTACAATGCCAGACAACTTATATACCATCCTTTTCTAGACTGCTTCTACATGAATTCACGACTCTATTTTAGCAAAGACATTAGATAACACATACAAGTGCTCTATCCACTACTAACAAAATGGTGCCTCCTTAGTAATCTGTCCAGCAAAGAAACTAGAAAAGACCCAAAATGAACCCGCAGTTCTTCTCACAGAAATTGCTCGTTGCTATGAGGGTCCAATTCTTCCATCTCCTTCTCATTCACCCAGGTTTCGGAGACCGTGGGCTGAGTTATCAGGTTCCAGCCTGGGCCACCGCCTACTATACACATTTTAAGGCAGCCAGAAAAAAAAGTGATAGGGTTGTCACCCAGGATGATTTTTATATTGTTCTTTTTCCTCCTTCATTTTCCATATTTTCTACAGTGAGCATGTGTTAGTTATATAATCAGTTCGTTAAAGAAAACAGAAAAATAGGATTTAAAGTTAAGAGCCTTGGTTCAATTCCTAGTTGTATAACCTATTCAAAACTCGATTTTTATACAAGAGAATTAAATGAAATTGTAATGATCTTACAAATACCGTCTCTTGGTAATAGAGATATTACTTACAGTGGTAAGGCATTTGGCTAGCATTCCAGAGGTTCTGGGTTCCATTCCTGGCCTGGTGTGGGGTGAGGGAGCAACCATAAAGGAACTTTTCTTCACAGCTTGTAGGAACCAAATAAGCTTGCAAAATCACCTTGCTAATTAAAGCTTTAGGAAAAGATTTAAAAAAAAAATTTAAGACTGCATAGAGCCTTAAGAAATTCCATGAACAATTCAGGTCAGGTATAGAAGCACCTGCCTGTAACCCCAGCTCCAGGGAGGTGAAAGCAGGAGATGGGGGCTTCACGGTCATCCTCAGCCACATAGTAACACTGAGGCCAGCCAGCCTGAGCTACATCACACACACACACACACACACACACACACACACACACACACACAACAAAACAAAACAAAAACAACCAACCAAACCCTAAAGAAGTACCATGAGCAATGGAACTTCAAAGATATTCTTAGGGTATCACTGTGTGCCTTTTCAAAACTATTTCTAAACTATTCTCTGCCAATGGGTTTGCTCTTTAAAAAAACAAACAAACAACAGGACGTGTTAAGGAGATCGACTACTTCATGTCTGCCATGAAAGACTTTCTGATGACGAACTGCAGCCGAGTTCTAATGTATGAAGGATCTCCAGGATATGGCAAAAGCCACTTGCTTATGGAGATCGAATACCTGGCCTCCCGGCATGAAAACCACAGGTTAGTGTGTCTTGAAATTGAGTTTCTTGCGACCTTGGAAATGTTGGCATCCTTAAAGGAATCTCCCTTATTTTGGTGTCTTCTCCTGCTTATAACTTGCCTTAGGCAAACTAGAGGACTAGAGCTATTGACCCTTGGAGCTGAATAGGTAATTAGTGATAAGTGTTTCAAACTAAGAGAAAAGGGGCTGATTCTGGAGACCTCAATTTAATTTTTGGGCATGCTTGGAGACTTGAAAACTTGCTGCTTAACCTCAGTGTCTAGGTAGATGACAACATCTATCAGAGATGTGGCCACCGCGGCTGGAATCTGTCTGGGGAACCCAAAAGGGAACTGCTGCTTTAAGCCCTTTAGTTTTGAGAACAGGGCTAAAGAATGCCGGGCCACTAGACCTTCGATCTGAAGGGCAGAGCTTGCGTACTTATGCTATACTTCACCCAAGAAGGGCTGTAAGGATTCCCTAAGGACCCTCTTCGGGAAGAGCACTCTGCCACTCTGAGGGACTGGATTGTATAGTAACGATGACCAAGATCATGACAACAGTGTCTCGTGTCTTCCCCTCCTAAATGCTGGGGTATATAAGGAGGAAGTGCTTGTTAATCTTATTTTTTTTTTTATCCAACTTCTATCCATCTTTAATGTCAGGCCTAAGAAAAGTCAGTTTCAAAAGGAGATGATTACAGCAAGAAACACTGAGTCACCGCATTACTTACTACATTATATACTTACTATGTTCCAAGAACTGCTAAATGCCCTATTAGTCACCAGGGGACTGCAACAAAGTATCATAAAACAAGAAAGGCTAAGAGTTCAAACCTGGTGTCAGTGGGGTTGGAATCCCAAGGACTAAGAAAACTCTGTCCTGTTACTCTTTCCTAGTTTCTGGTGCTTTCGTGCCAATGTTTGGTGCTCCTTGGCTTGGAGAGACACATTACCTAAATCTCTGACTTCACACAGCATCTCCCTGTGTGTGTTTTCTTTTTTTTTTAAATTTTTTTCAGATTTATTTATTATGTAAACAACATTCTGCCTCCATGTATGCCCGCATGCCAGAGGAGGGCACCAGATCTCATTACATGTGGTTGCTGGGAATTGAACTCAGGACCTCTGGAAGAGCAGCCAGTGCTCTTAATCTCTGAGTCATCTCTCCAGCCCCCCCTGTGTGTGTTTTCTATGTACACGTGTTTACTTAAGTATTAGTCACAGGCAGGGGTTCATGTAGCCCAGGCTAGCCTTGAACTCCGGATCCTCTCAGTTCCACCTCCTGAATGCTGAGATTCCAGGCACATACCACCACTCCCAGCTCAAGTTACAGCCTCATCTTAGTTGATTCTCTGTGACCAGACTGTTACCACACAAGGTCGCATTCTGCAGTCGTTGGATGATTTGGGGGAATACAAGTCAATCCTGAGTGTGTCAGTGCCCTGAGGATGAGTGCTATATGGTCCCTCCTCTCAAGGAGCTTAGAAGATGGCAAGGAGTGTGGTGAGGGTGCTGGCAGAGGCAGGCAGCAGAATATTGCAGGAACGCAAAGACAATTGGGTAGCCTAAATTTAGGGCACCAGGAAAGTCTTCCAAGAGGCCATTGCAGAAGTGGGGCTGTGGCCAATAATCGCCATCTCTAGACAGGCGGAAAGTAAAGTCCTAGAGAGGAGACACAGCCCCGGCTGTATAGGAAACTCCCATCCACTTGGTAATGGTAGATAGCCAGGCAGAAAGGAGTGAGGCAGACACAAGGAGGCTTTGGCCACTCTGTATACCACACAAAATAGGCCATGGGAACCCTGAAAAGCATTAAATAGAAAAAGGCAGGATTCACCTCATTTTGTTTTATTCAGGTTTTGCGTTGCTTTGGGTGGTATACTCGTGTGCAAACTGCAGGTTTCACACACGCCAGGCAAATGTTCTCTATATTATTCAAGTTTCTAGAAGGGGTTGTCTTCAGAGGGTCACTGACAGCAGGCACGGGAAGTGGCATGCTGTTTTAGCAGGATAGGCACAAGTCTAAGGGACCTGGGTGCAGGGCAGTGATGGCAGGACTAGAAGATACCAAGGTTAACATCGTGGAACGATGGAGGAGGTTGGGATACCTGAAGCAGGAATAAAAACAGCTTCCAGGTAGCTCAATAAATCTCTGTCCTTGCAGCTAAGCATTGCAGCTAAGCATGAGAAATCAGAACTTCCCTCCAGCCTTTGCTCTCTCCAGGGACTGTGTTTAAAATGTTCTCCTGATTCTCGATTGTCTTATGAACAGGGCTATTGCTATTGCACTGACTAGGATCAGCTTCCATCAAAATTTTTATACCATCCAGATACTCATGGCTAATGTACTAGGTCTAGATACTTGTAAACATTACAAAGAACGACAGACCAATCTGCAGAATAAAGTCAAGATGCTGTTGGATGATAAATTCCACTGCCTTCTTAATGACATCTTCCATGTTCAGGTAACTAGCTTGCATTAGAATCCTGCAAAAAAAAAAAATTAGGTATGGGCCAAGCACAGCAGCTCCTGTCTGATGCTATATGACTTCATGTGCCTTTAGCCTTTGTTTTAGTCAGATTAATATTGCTGTGATGGAATACCATGACCAAAACCAAGGTGGGGAAGATAGGGTTCATTTGGCTTACACTTCCAGATCATAGCCCATCATCAAAGGAAGTCAACACAGGAACTCAAAGAACAGGAGCTGATGCAGAGGTTATGGGGGGTGCTGCTTGCTCCCCATTCCCCATGGCTTGCTCTGTCTGCTTTTGTTGGTTTTTTGAGACAGGGTTTCTCTGTGTAACAGTTCTGGCCATCCTGGAATTCACTTTGTAGACCAGGCTAGCCTCAAACTCACTGGGTTCCGCCGGCCTCTGCCTTCCAAGTGCCAGGATTAAAGGTATATGCCACCACTGCCCGGCAAGGCAGGGTTTCTCTGTGAAACTTGTTTTGTAGACTAGGCTGGCCTCGAATTTAAAGATCTGCCTACCTCTGCCTCCCAAGTGCTGGGATTAAAGGCTTGCACCACCACACCCATCAGCCTGCTTTCTTGAACTTGGAGAGAGTTCACTCCGAGTTTTGCAGCTGGTTTGATGGAGTGTTAGCTCCTGACTTTGACCTGCCTTTTGTGATGGCTACCTCTTGTGTCCTGTACCTTTTGTTTGAAGTATGTAAAATTTATCTGGGAATTCCCTAAAGTTTCCAAAGCCTATGCAACATTTGGTGACAGGAGGATTCAGCAAACTGAGATGTCCTGTGACTAGGAATTGCTTCGGCATTTGTCTCTTTGGGAGCTTCAGATAACAGGTTTTGGTATGTAGAAACTGACTTGCTAAAAGATGTAAATTATATAACAATAAAAGAGCCCTTGGCTAAGCTGTTGGAGTCAGTTTGCCAGAGGCTGACTCCTCTGCAATTGCAAGGCTAAAATTTATCCTAGAGTGCCGCCGATTCTTCCAGAGCACTTAGAGAACCCAGGACCTCTCTTATTGATCACTGATTAAGAAAATGCCCTACAGGCTTGACTACAGGCTGATCTTACAAGAGACATTTTCTCAATTGAGGTCCCTTCTTTCAGATGACTCTAGATTGGGTCAAGTTGACATAAAACTAGCCAGCACACCTTTCTTATTCTTTCCTAGGCTTCCTGCAGTATCCAAGTGTTAATGTCTCTCCATTCTCCTTGAACCGCATTTATATTCATTTTTAAAAACAACTTAGTCATCTGGGGCTAGAGAGACTGCTCATCTGTTTAAAGCGTGGAGTAGTGCTGATGCAAAGGACCTGAATTTCCAGCATCCACACTAGGCAGCTGACAACCAACCAACCAGTGCCTATGATTCCAGCTCCGGGGATCTAATGCCCTCTTCTGGCCTCCATGTGCACAGACTCACACATAAATACATACAACACACATAGTTAAAAATAAATCTTTGCCGGATGGTGGCGCACACCTTTAATCCCAGCACTCAGGAGGCAGAGGCAGGCGGATCTCTGTGAGTTTGAGACCAGCCCCGTCTACAAGAGCTAGTTCCAGGACAGGCTCCAAAACTACAGAAAAACCCTGTCTCGAAAAATCAAAAAAAAATAAAATAAAATAAAAATAAATAAAAACAAATATGTAAAACCTGTAGTCGAGGGGCTAGAGAAATGACTCCGTTAAGACCGTTCGTTGTTTTGCAGGAGACCTGGGTTCAGTCCCCAGCATCCACATGGTGTCTCACAACCATTTGTAGCTCCTGTTTCAGGAGACTTAATACTTTCTTCTGACCTCTGTGGGCAGCATGCATGCACATGGCACATATGCATACATGCAAGCAAAACACACACACATAAAATAAATCTTTTTTAATCACTCAGTCAAGATTCATTTCAAGTCCTAAAGACATTCAGGTAAACCAAGATGATAATGCAATTCCCTATTACACATAAACACTTTATAAATATAAGGGTTTTGAAGTTTAGATAATTAACTCACATGAAACAACACACATTAAATTTACATTTATTGGTGGTCAGTGGTGGCGCACACCTTTAATCCCAGCACTCAGGAGGCAGGGGCAGGCGGATCCCTGTGAGTTCTAGGCCAGCCTGGTCTACAGAGCAAATTCCAGAACAGCCAGGACTGTTATATAGAGAAAACTTGTTTCAGAAAACAAAAAAAAATTACATTTATTTATTTAGTTATAGGAGTTAAGGGTGGACTTAGGGCCTCACACTGCTAAGCATTTATTCTGCCACTGAGCCACAGCCACACCCCCGGTACCATGTTCTTGGGAGACACTGGAGGTATCTAAAAATGCCATGCCCAGGAAAACCCAAACAACCACTTACGGAATTGTATGTCTGTCATAACCGTACTGTCCTGTCCTGTTTGACTTAGGGATCAAAATCACCCTGTTGTCAAAAGTGGCATCAAACATAAAGATAGCATGTGCCCTGTTCTGTCCTGAAGCTATTCTATTCAGTGGCACAGAGGATTCAAGCCAGGGAGGGCACTGGGGGGAGTAGCCTTTGAGCATCCAAAACTTCAGAACGGTTGCTGTGATTTGCTCGGAGACAATTTGGCTCGTCGCTCCTGTCTCTGTTTCCTTCTGCTCACATTCTGCTCTCTGCACAGTTCCCTGTTTCCCGGGAGATGTCCAAGATGAGCACATTAAGAAAGCAAAAGCAACTGGAAGCGCTGTTTATGAAGATCTTGGAGCAAGTAAGAATACCTGTGGGTCACTCCACTGGGGGAGGAAACTGGACAAAATGGTCACAAAGCCAGCTGCCTCAAGGGACTTGGACTCTGCTGGCAAAGAACACTAGAAGCATGTGACAGCCATATCCTCCAGTGCTTCCTTCTCCCCGTCCTTCCAAACCTGAGCTGAATCTGTTCAGAATTCAGCTATAGTGGAGCTGGAGAGATGACTCAGTACTTAGGAGGACCCGAGTTCAGTTCCCAGCACCCACATCAACTCCAGCTCCACAAGAAACAGTGGCAACTCTTTCTGGCCTGTGTGGACACCTGCACTCATGTGTATACACACACACACACACAGCACAGTGGCACACTCATGATCCTAGGACTTGAGAGGCTGAAACAGGATACCATGCATTCATGGTCTATTGCATGTCTCCAGCATCTGCTGGAGCTGTGCACAACCCCAATAGATATACACTAAATGTTTAATGAGTGGACGAATAATTAAGACTAGTAGTAATCTGTACAGGAAAAAGGATACACAATCTATTTAAACTGTAACCTATACCAGAGTTTAAACCAAAGTACACAAGCCACCAGCAGTGTCAGGAGCAGATCTGTCTCCATCAGGACTATACACACTACCTAGCCCATGGTGTTTGTGCATGTGTTACAGAAAAAAATCATATTCCCAGGATCATTTGTCAGTAGATTAAAATGACTTTTGGCTGACATGGCCATTATTTTGGCCATTATTTTTATGTAATGAGCATTGTTTTCTGTTTTGCTTTTTTTTTTCCTTTGAGTTTGCAGATACTCCCATAACCCTAATTATCCTGTAATTTTACATGATCTTTTTTCCTTTTTTTTTTTTACTAAGAATTCAACCCACTGAGTTATGCTGTAGGGTTTTGTTTATTTTGAAAAAAGGTCTCTTAGCTCAGGCTGACTCTGAGCTCATGATAGGAAGGGTAGCCTTGAACTCCTGATCCTCCTGTCTCCCTCCCAAGTGTGGGGATCACAGGGGTGAGTCACACTGACTTTAGTGCTTTCTGTTTCCTTCCTACCTTCATTTCTCCCATCCCTCCTTCCCTTGCTTTCTCTTTATAAAGCCACTACTGGCTGGTCGTGGTGGCACACACTTTTATTCCTGACTGAAGACACGGTTGAGAGGTATCTATCTCTGTAATTTGGAGGCCAGCCTGATCTACAAAGTCTAAACCAAAAACTCAATGACTACACATTCCCCACCTGTGCACAAGATCCCAGAGTCTGCAAGCATGTCCCTGTTTCTCTCCCTTTTCCAGACAGTGAGAGAAGAAAGGATTGTTTTCATCATCGATGAGGCCCAGTTTGTGGACGGAACCTCCTGGGCCTTCATAGAAAAGCTCATCCAGTCCATGCCCATCTTCATTGTGATGGGCCTGTCTCCCTTCCCTGAAAGTCCCTGTGCGGCCGCCAATGCTATAATGAAGAACCGGAACACCACGTATATCATTCTTGGTGCCATGCAGCCTCAGGAAATCCGCGATAAGGTCTGCATTGACCTTAGTGTAAGCAGTATCCCCAGAGAGCTGGACTCGTAAGTAACCTCCTCCTATCCTGAGCTCTTACCCTCCCTAGGCACTGATCCCCCAGATCTGAACTTTCTCAGATCCCTCAGGCTGTGGTGTGTGTTATAAATATGTTCATGTGGATACATGTGGAGGCCAGAGGCTAATGCTGGGTATCCTCCTTAATTGTTCTTCATCTGATTTTTGAGCCATGATCTCTCGCCAAACTCTCAGTTCATTGGTTCAGTTAGTTTGTCCAATGAGTCTCTTGTCTCTGGCACTCCAGAGCTGGAATTACAGATGCACACAACTGCAATCAGATGTTTCTGTCCCGATTCCAGCTGCCAGTACCAAATAACCAACACAGAAGCTTATAATTAATTGTAAATGCTTGGTCAATAGCTCTGGCTTATTACTAGCTAACTCTTACATTTTAAGTTAACCCGTATTTCTTATTTATGCTCTGACAGTACCTTTATTAGCATGGCACGTTCATCTCATGTTTCCCTTGCATCTGGCTGTTTCTTTTGACTCCTCCCTTATCCTTTCCATCATCCTTAGTTTGGCTGCCCTGCCTTTACTTCAGCATTTTACTAAACCAATTTGAGCTTTACAGTGTATGAGATGATTATTCCACAGCACACAACAGCACCCTGCTTTTACATGCGTGTTGGGGATCTAAATTCAGATCCTCAGGCTTATGCAGCAAGCACTTTACCGAAAGAGCCATCTCCTCTCCCTGGGTTGGGCTGCAGGACGTGTTGATCACCTCCCTGATATGGGACCCTATCACACCTCCTCAAGCATTGCTTAGTTGATCTGCTTCCCTTTCTTCGTGCTAGGTGTGGTCAGCCTTCTTTGATGAGCAGTGACCAAGAGCATGGTTATACGTGTTTGGAAATTGACAGGAAAGAGAAGTCGTACAAACCATACCTGCAGCTCAGCAAGGTCTTATGTGGCTGGCGAGAGAGGGGTTGCTGGTGGGGTTCTTAGTCAGAGGCAGGGGCTGAAAACACACTCTTATGAGTGTTCTGAGATTGTCAGTGATTCTTCCACTGGGATCTTGACAGCAGCCCCCTTAACAACTAGACCATGGCTCTTTAGCTGGTGTTTATCATTCTGTTCCACTCTGTTTTGGTTTTCATTTCATTTTGTTTCAATTTGTTTGAAATAGAATCTTGCAATGCAGCCCTGGCTGGGCTGATGTTCACTGTGCCCTGACCTCATAGAAATCTCCTGTCTTGGCTTCCAAAATAATGAGATTACAGACACTTAACACTAGGTCTTTCTATTTAGGTTACCCTGCTTAAGGAAGAAAGATGCATGGGATAAGGGCTCACTTAGTACAACTCAAGCGATGTATTTCACATATACGCATGCAGGGTGTTTGTGATTCTCATATATGTATGTGTATGTAACTATAAATATTATTTCTACCTTTGGTGTTTGTTTTTGTCTTTTTTGCTGTGCGTGTGCATGTATACATGTGTGGGTAGGGGTATATCTATGTATGTGTGAATGAATATGCACATGTATATGCAGGTACATACATCCATGAGTGTGTGTAGGCCAGAGGAAGATGTCAGGTAGCCTGTTCTGTCATTCTCCACCTAACAAGGTCTCTCACAGAACCTAGAGCTAGGCTAAAAGCTAATACCAATCCTGTCTGCATGTGTGACCTGACCACTCCAAGCTCTTTACATGAGTTTGGGAATATGAACTCAGGTCCTCAAGCAGCATAATGCCTATCTGCTGAGTTATCTCTTTGTTCCTATTTAAGGAATTTTTTTTTGAGACAAGGTCTTATTATGTAGTCTAGCCTGACTTTTAAATTGGTATCCACCTTCCATATCCTCCCAAGTGCTGAAATTACAAGTGTGTGTGTTCTTTCTCTCTAGGATTACAAGTGTATACAATCATTCTCTCTCTCTCTCTCTCTCTCTCTCTCTCTCTCTCTCTCTCTCTCTCTCTCTCTCTCTCTCTCTCTCTCTCTCTCTCTCTCTCTCTCTCTCTCTCTGAACCAAGTCTCTTATTCATACAAGGCAAGCACTTCTGCTGCTGATCTAAGTCCCCAGCCAAACACCATTTGATCTACCAATACTAAATGTTCTAGGGATCTATCTCAGATCTCAAATGTCTGACAAAAAATTTTTAAATGATGGACAAAGTTTTCCTTGAGGCCTTAACTTATATTAGTGAAACACTAGGAGCAACTCACATATTCATCCCTTCGTGGTTAAGTTCAGTAAAGTAGGTGAATCCTTCAGTAGATGGCGGGGGTAGTAACAAAGGGGAATAAGAAACTCTTGCTAACAAAGTGTTGACTCGGACTCACTGTGGCCTGGAAAAACTGAGGTATAACCTAGTACACTTTTACCTAACAAAAACGTAAGACAGGAGCTTGAGAGATAGCTCACCAGTTAGGAGTGTTGGCTGATCTTCCAGAGTGTACAGGGTTTGATTCCTAGCTTCCATCTGCTGAACTCACAACCGTTTGTACCTCCAGTTCCAGGGGATCCAATTGCCACTGAGAGCATCAGGCATGCATGTGGTGCAGTGACAGACATGCAGTCAAAACACCCACACATGCAAAACTGAAAACATTATTTTAAAAAGAGGCACATGAGAGGTGTGTGTAGTGGAATCTACGTGTGTATGTTTTATTAGCATCTATTAATTACACATGAGTTTCATTATGTCTTTTTCTCTTTTTTTTTTTTGGTTTGTTTTGGTTTTGTTTGTTTTTGTTTTGCAAAACAAGGTTTCTCTGGGAAGCTTTGGAACCTGTCCTGGCACTTGCTCTGTAGACCAGGCTGTCCTCAAACTTGCAAAGATCCACCTGCCTCCCAAGTGCTGGGATTAAAGGCGTGTGCCACCACTGCCTGGCCATTATGACATTTTTATACGTGTATATTATGTACATTAAGTTCACGCCAACCTTGTTAATGTCTCTTGTCCAACTCTTCCTCCTATTGATCGGTTTTCTCTTCACCAGAGAACCTCCTTTCCACATTCCTGGCTTGGATATGCTTGGATGTGTGTATATGTCTGTAAGACTCATTAAGGCTGCATGGGGGAGGGGCTGTTGACAGGAGAATGGGTACTTCACCAGTGGCTATGTAAAGGGAATGTCTCTCCCTCCCCCGTTAACAACATGTAAAACCTCACGGAAAGGTGGGATCCCATTAGCCCCTCTCTCTCCCATGACACAGTGTTAGCAGGCTCCTGTTTACACAACACACACATTAAGTTTGTTATTATTCTGTGTGTGTTGACAAGAGGACAACTCTGGAGAGTTGGCTCCTCCTACACGGGATCTGGGGATTAAACTCAGGTTGTCAGGCCTGTGCAGCAAGTGTCATTAACCATTGAGCCATGTTGCTAGGACCTGTTTGTATCTTTTAAAGAAATGTTGACAGAATTAACCGAAGCGAATCAAAATTATTACCTACAGCATGAGGAAGAGAAGCAAGCCAGAGGATGTGCTTTATTATGCCGGCTCAGTTTTGGAAACACTCATTTGTCACATAACTTAAACTGTGATACGAAAGAGAATGTAGCTCGGCGGCAGAGCGCACACCTCGCACACACAGGGCCTAGCACGGAAAGCAAAAAGAAGAAAAATCAATCCCCAGACTTGAAAACGAGTGCTTTCTAGACCAACAGCTGTTTCTTTCCATGAGCCTTCCGCCTTGTTCTCCCTACAGGTACCTGGTGGAGGGGAGCTGTGGGATCCCACTTTACTGTGAAGAATTGCTGAAGAACCTCGACCACCACAGAGTTCTCCTTTTCCAACAAGCAGAGTCTGAGGAAGAGACCAATGTGACCTGGAATAACCTGTTCAGTAAGTGGCTTTCTCAGGACTACTCTGTCACTAGGTCTTTTTGCAGAGCAAGGTGGCAAGGATTGAGGCTAGCCCATAGAAGAGGGCTTCCGGAGTGTAAGAAAGCACTAGATCTGAGATCCTAAGAAGACGAAGGAAATCCAACTAACCTAGACTTCCAGGGCTGGGCTAAAGGATCCGCACCTCAGCCAGGCAGGAATGGTGCAAGCACTTAGGAGGCAGAGGCAATTGGATCTCTGAGTCCAAGGCCAGCCTGTCTACAGAGTGAGGCCCAGGACAGCCAGAGTGGTTACAAGAAACCCTGTCTTGAGATCCTCTCCCCCCCTCCAAAAAAAAGGGGGAATAAAAAAACAAACAAAACCCAAAAATATACACCAAGAACATGGGGAAATGTAAGGGCCGCATCAGGGTCTTTTTGAGCCCTTCATCTGGCTTTATCCTAACATGTTACTCTTTGCTTGTTAGCTCTTGCTCGCTCTTCCTGGTGTTTTGGTTAATTCCTTGGATATCTGTCACCATAGTTTTATGCACCAAGAGGCCTGGAAGCATGCATTACTCATGCTGATCACCCTCACAGATTATATTACACTGAAAGTCTTTAATAACTATACTGCTGTGAACTGTCTAGTACTGCTCGTGCTCACTGGTGGGCTGCTTTCCGCCTGGCAGCCTTTGGGCTCGTGACTTTCCTCTCCAGGAGATGAGGAACTTGGCTTTACTTACCAGTGCATTTGTACCTCACCCATTAAGTGTTATAGGAATAACTTGAGCAGTAAACATTTTGGAGCACGTTTGGGTAGACCAACATAGTAGGCATGTTTATTCAGAACCCTCACCATTTTAAATCTCCCCCTGGTTATAGCCATGTCCCCTTACAAGGCCAGTGGGCATACAAATGAGCACAGAGCTCTATGTACTACGTGTGATAGGATGGAGTCTAGGTTGTTGGGAACCCCATTTTTGTAAAGCTAAAAGTACTATGGAGACACCAATAGTACAATTCTTGTTTTGGAGGGTGGGAAAGGAACATAAAATAATTTGAGTTAATTTAGATTCTCATATATCAGTTTTATTTAAAATGAGATGTTCTAGAACATTTGGTGAACCACGATGTCTATTCAGCTTTTCTCACCTGAGTTTCTTCTCCAAGTTTTCAGGGAAATCAGACTTTTTGAAGACAGGAAAATGATTCTCAACTTTCCTGCCCTCTTGTCTCCCCATAGAGAATTCTGTTAGGCCGACAGAAGACACGCATTTTTATACTTTGGTATCTGAGGGACGTAAGGAAGTCTGTTACCTTGCAAGTGGTGTCAGGCTAAAGAACTTGTCCCCTCCAGCATCACTGAAAGGTAAAGGAGGTTGAACTTGCATTCATTTTTCAGTAGGTTTTACTTTTGCCTCATCTAGGATGGCTGCCTAAAGAAAGATGATAACCAAGCTCTTTGAGTACTTGCTTTTGCATTGCCCAGGTGGTAGGCAGGCTATACAGTGGATATGGTTTTTCTCCCTCTAGTTAGGAGACTCCTTCTCTTGGTACATGTTTTGGACTGAACAAATGCTTATTCAAATGCACAAAAGTGAAATATGAAGAGCTGGGGAGGTGGTAAGGCATTTGTTGTGCCAGGCTAGAGGAAGGACCTGAGTTCAATCCCTAGAACTCACCAGGCATGGTGGCACATAGTTTTAGCACCAGCACTGAGGGGGTAAAGATAGGAGGCTCACTGAGACTTAGGGTCTACCAGATTAGTTGAATTGGTGAGTATCAGGCTCCATGAAAAAAAGAAAAAAGACCTGTTACTTTTCTATTGCCATGACAAAACACCAGGGCCAAGGCAGTTCATTAAAGAAAACATTTAAACCTGGGCTCATATCTGTAGAAGGTTAGAGCCCATGACCATCACACAGAGGGGAACATGGCGGCAGGCAGACATGGTGCTGGAGCAGTAGCTGAGACCTTACGTCCTTATCCGTCAATGGGAGATAGAGAGAGCTATCTGGGAATGGTGTGGGCTTTTGAAAGCTCAAAGCCAACTCCCAGTGACACACCTCCTCCAACAAGGCCACACCTCCTAATCTTTCCCAAACAGTTCCACCAATAGAAGGCTAACATGTGAGCATTTGGGAGCCATTCTCATTCTAATACCATAAACCTCATCTCACAAAGTCAAATGACTGGGAATAGTGGTGTACACCTTTAATATCAGCACTTGAGAGGCAGAGGCAGGTGGAGCCTGGTCTACAAAGTGAGTTCTAGGACAACTATGGTTGCACAAAGAAACCCTGTCTCAAAAAAACAACAAAAAAGTAAGTAAGTAAGTAAGTAAGTAAGTAAGTAAGTAAGTAAGTAAGATGAGGAGTAATTGAGGAGGGCTCTCAATGTGGACTTCTAAGTGCACACACACAAACAAGCACATGTAAGTAAAAAAAATCTTTTTAAAAAAAGTCTCTAAGAAGGGGTCAGGGATGTGGCTTAGTGGTAGAGCAGGTTGTGAAGCAAGCTTGGGGGTGCTGGGTTTAGGCCCCAGAACACACATACCTCAAAAACAAAATCTAAAGACCAGGAACACATGAACTATGTCCAAGCTTAGATGAAGAGTTGGGATGGCACTCTGGGCTCTTCAGCCCTTACTAAAGCAATAGAGACGATAATGGGTGTCATGAGCAGAAATAAATCCCTTGAGCAGATATGGAGAGCCTTATGCTTACTCCTGAGGCAGATCCATGGAAAAGAAGAGTCAGTGAAGACAGAGGGGCAGCTGGAGAAGTCTTATTCATGTCATGTAGACAGACTATAGAAACTGCATCTTGTATGTTTCCAGTATGAGGGGTATCTATAAACTGGGTACTAAGCAATTATCTTTTTTGACTTTGCTTAGCTAGGTTTCTATAAACCAGAATCGTAGCTCTGGACAGTCATCTATCTCTAGAATGCATCTGATAATGATAGTGTCCCATTGTGGCTTTCCACATGCAGAAATCTCTCTGGTCCAGCTGGACAGCATGAGCCTTTCCCATCAGATGCTGGTGAGATGTGCTGCCATCATTGGCCTAACCTTCACCACAGAGCTGTTGTTTGAGATTCTCCCCTGCTGGAACATGAAGACCATGATTAAGGCCCTGGCCACCCTTGTGGAATCAAATATTTTTGATTGTTTCCGGAGTAGCAAAGATCTTCAACTAGCCCTAAAACAAAACGTGACCACACTTGAGGTGCATTATCGCTCTTTGTCCTTGAAGCCCAGCGAGGGGTTAGGTGAGTAGTACCTGGAGAACATTTGTCTTTCCCCCTTGGCTAAAGGCATGTCTAGATAAGAGAACTGGAGTGAAGAGGCAGAGCACTAACCTAGCATGCACAGTGTCCCAGGGTTCAAACCCCATCACCACAAAAAACAACCTACCAAAAATAAAATGTGTTAGGAAGGAGCGGTTGGATTGGTGCCTGCTGCCTGGCTGAAGAGTCCTTCCTTCTCCTTCTAGCTCGTGATGAAGAGGAACTCCGTGAGAAGGAAGGAGAGGTGATTGAGTGCCAGATCCTGCGCTTCTGCAGACCTATAATGCAGAAAACGGCCTATGAACTCTGGCTTAAGGACCAGAAAAAGGTCTTGCATTTGAAATGTGCCCGCTTTTTGGAGGCAAACGCCCATCGGTGCAACCACTGCAGAAACAGGGACTTCATTCCTTACCACCATTTCATAGTGGAAAGCCGACTCAACCCCTTGGATATGGATAAAGTCAAGAAGATGGCAAAGTCTCAAGGATATAAAAGTAAAATTTAATTCACTTCTAACCAATCCCAGCTCTTGCTTGGACGTTTTAGAGATTAAAATGTGTATGGATTGATTGGGTCAGGACCTTAAAGGCTCCAATACCCCCGGGGTTTGGGACACAAGCCATGCGACAGGTCCACGAGGCAGGAAAGAGCTGGCAGTGCAGCTGGAGTAGCGGAGTCCATCTCCCTGGGGCTTCCATACATCTGCAAACAAAGGGCAGCTGAGCCAAAATCAAAGTGTCTCCCAGCAAGGGATGGAAGCCAGTGAGGTGGCCCGTGGGTTAACTTCCACGATGTCCCCTGAGCCTTGAGGAGTCAAAACAGATGTCTCTGTTAGGGCTGAGCACGCCACAGCCACTTATGCTCGGTACTTTATCCAGCTTTGAGTCTCTGCTCAGTCATCACCTACTCAGACCTTGACCAAGACCGAGAGCAGCATTAAGCTATGGGTATAAGCAGAGCTACTTAGAAGGCATTTTGATACTTTGTCATTTTAGCAAAGCAACAACAATAGGTTATCCTATTACCTAAAATAAATGGAAATAGCCTATATTGTTGGGGGAGGGAACCTCTGGATCCTTGCTGACCATAGGAGATATCCCACACCTGGTTCTGGCATTTCTGCTTAACAACCTATGACTTGTGGTGGCAACATTTTCCATTCATACAAGGGTACTTCCCTTCAAACTATTTTAAAAATAATTAGCTAACAAAATAGTAGGTTTCCATGTGGCTTTTTCATATATACATCTTTAGTTTCAGTTAACTCTCTTCCCCCTTCAGTTCTCTCTCTGTCTCTCATTTCTGAGACAGGGTCTCATTATATAGCCCTGTTAGCCTGGAACTCACTACTTACACCAGGCTGGCCTTGAACTTCTGAGTGGTGGTGTTACAGTCATGTGCAGTCATACCCCAGCTCTGCCTTCCATTTTCAAGAGGGCGGGAAGAGGACAGATATCAGGGACTTTGAGATGGCTCAGAGGAGAGAGGCGACTACTGTCAACCTGGCAAATGAGTTTGATCCCTGGGACCTACATGAATCATAAAAAGGACCTGCTTCCCACAAGCTGTCCTCTGATGTCTTCAAGCACACTGTGGCGCATACACCCACTTACTCAAGTAAATAATGTAAAAGAAGAGGGTCCATCTTTAAGTTTGAAATCTTAGAGTCAAGTCTTCCAAGGACTTAGGCACACAGAAGATGGTTCATCAGTGGTAGGGCTCATTCCCCAGGGCAATGAGGTGTCAGAGAAATGTACCCAGTTGTCACCACCTGCTGACTACCATCACTTATCATCCTTGACGTTACAATTTTTTTTCAAAATTGAAAATATATTTATTACTATTACAAAACTAAACTGATTGTTGTACATACCTGTAATCCCAACACTTGGAACAAGGAGGCAGGAAGATCAGGAGTTCAAGGTCATCATTGGTTAGATAGCAAGTATAAAGCCAGCCTGGGCTCCAAGAGACCTTGTCTCAGAGAAAACGAAGTTAATACATGTGTAGAATGCTGCTGAAGTTAAAATCTGTACCAAGAAACCAAGACACAGTGAATGCCGCCATCTAAAATGAGATTCTAGATGGAGCTACACAGACTACAAAGGCTTGGTTAGCGTTCAAGGGGTAGGGTTCTTATGCAGTGTGCTAAGAATGTTGTCATAGCTCCACATGCAGGATGGTGGTCACACATGTCGGGGAATCTGTTCTGTAAGGACAAGAGCACAGAACCTTCAAATTTCATTTGATTAACTAAGAGTTCTCTTCAGGTGTGTGGAAGCTGAGGCAAGAGGATGGAGAATAGGGAGTAGGAGGCCTGCAGAGCTCAAGGACCACCTGGATTAGATAGTAAAACACTGTCCAAAACAAAGCAAAACAAACCTATGAAGTCATATTTTATTGCTAGGAGGCTGCCCTACCTCTGCCACTGGCAAATGCTCTGGGATAGGCTGCTTTCTTCTCCCCATGGGACTTTCCAACCTACTGAAGTCTCATTAGACGGAAGATGTCTAGTTCAAGACTTTATCTCCTTAAGTTAACCTTTAGAGTGCTTCATTAGAGTATCTGTGTTTTCTAGACCATGTAGGAAGAGTCAGCAGAGTACTTGCCTAGCATATTCAAAGCCCTGAGTTTGAATCTTAGCACTGCACTCCAGCAATTCCAATTCTTGGAAGAAGACGGGAGGATGCAAAGTTGAAGGTTATCCTTTTCTGGTGAGGGTTTCTGTCCTGCCCAGTTCCCACAGTCATTAAGTCCCAAAGAAATCACACAGAGTTCTACATTAACTATAAACTGATTGGCCCATTAGCTCAGACTTCTTATTAACTCTTTTTTTTTAAATATTTATTTATTTATTATATATACAGTGTTCTGTCTGTGTGTATGTCTGCAGGCCAGAAATGGGCACCAAACCCTACCACAGATGGTTGTGAGCCACCATGTGGCTGCCGGGAACTGAACTCAGGACCTCTGGAAGAGCAGACAATGCTCTTAACCACTGAGCCATCTCTCCAGCCCTTCTTATTAACTCTTATAACTTATATTAGCCCATTATTCTAGTATATGGTTAGCCACATGGCTCGGTACCTTTTTCAGTAAGGCAGTCACATCTTCCTTCTTCTGTGGATGGGTCACTACTGCAGAGGAATGGGCTTCCTCTTCCCAGAATTCGACTGTTCTCTTTGACCCGCCTCTACTTCCTGTCTGATTGTCTGCCTATACTTCCTGCCTGGCTACCAGCCAATCAGCATTTATTTAAAAATATGATTGACAGAATACAGACCATTCTCCCACAATCCTTGGTTACAAGTTGAGTTCAAGGGCAGCCTGGGATACATGAGGCCCCATCTCAAAACAACTTATATATGTATGTGTGTGTGTATGTATTTAAATTTCGATTTCTTTAGGACACATTAGTGTTACTTTATGATTGTTAAACTGTAGTTTTAATTATTGTAGGTTAAGTGGGTTAGGATAATGTTATCAGCTATAACAAACCAGCATTTCAGTGGGATCAGCACAATGGAATGGGACTTTATTTACCAGCCTTTGTAATAATCCACTAAGTTGGGTGGTGGTGGCACATGCCTTTAATCCCAGCACTCAGGAGACAGAGGTAGGTGGATCTTTCTGAGTTCGAGACCAGCCTGGTCTACAAGAACTAGTTCCAGGACAGGCTCCAAAGCTACAGAGAAACCCTGTCTCAAACAAACAAACAAACAAAAAAATCCACTAAAATTTTGACAAGTGGTCTGGCAGATAGCTACAGACTCAGGCTCCTCCTGGTTGGTGCTTTGCTTTCCTTTGGTTGTTCAGAACCAGCTACAATCCTGTCTAAGGAAAGAACAGGGTAAAAACCCATCTACTTCAGAAGTGACACCCATCACATATGATCTGATTCTACCAGAGAAAAGAACCACATGGCTTTTTCTAAGCTGAGGTGCCTGGGGTGGGGCGGTGATGGACTGGAAAATATGGTTCCTTGCTGGGAAAAGGGAATAAGAGTCTTTGGTGAATGGCAAACGTCTCATTTGCTCAATTATTTTCTAGCTGAAGAGGACGTCATCTTGTCTAAGTCAGAGCTCCATAAGAAATACAAATTCCCTGAGAACCTCAGGTATGCACGTATGGAGTTTTTAGGCGCAAGAACAGAAGCAGTGGTCATGAGATCACCCTTGGGGTCACTTCTGAGTCAGCTCTTTAGGCCTCTTAAGTACATAGGAAAACTGGTAGGGGCTGCCTGGTGCATCTGGTCAGTGAAAGCAACACTGGATCTTTGTTAGTCTTCAAAGATAATTTCATATTAAAATCTGTGCCGTGTCTGTAATCTACAGATGATCTACCTATTCTTATATTTAAACAGTGACATGGAAACAAAGGAAGCAATATTACATTTCTTTGACAACGTTATCATAAAGATGAGGTCGTCTCCAGAATACATCATTCCATCAGAATCATGCCGGTGTGAGGAGCTGCTCCAGATTGTCATCTTGCCACTGGCCCAACATTTTGTAGCGTTAGGAGAAAACAACAAAGCCCTGTACTACTTCCTAGAAACTGCATCTGCTTATCTCATCCTGGGTGACAACTATAAGGTAAGCTATTGTTCTACACCTCTTCCTCCTCCTCCTCTTCCACCCCTAAGACTCAGACACACAGCCAGAGTCCAGCTCCTGTGTGCTTTTGTACGACTTCATGTTGATCCCTGTTAGCAGCCCTTTCCTTAGAAAAAATCACATTGCTGAGAAGGGACGTGATCTCGGACTGAGAAAAGAGAGTTAGAGCAATTTCAAGTACCATCATTATTTTAGTCCGTGCTCTGCTGCTGTGAAGAGACTCCATGGCCACAGCAACTCTTATAAAGGAGAGCATTTAACTGGCGGCTTGCTTACAGGTTCAGGGGTTTAGTTCATTGTCATCATGTTGGGAAGCATGGTGGCACACAGACAGAAATATGATGCTCAAGAAGGAACTGAGAGTTCTATACCGAGATCTGCAGACAGCAGGAAAAGTGAGCCACTGGGCTTCTGAAACTCCAAAGCCCACCTCCAGTGACACACTTCCTCCAACAAGGCCACACCTACTCCAACAAGGCCACACCTCCTAAGAGTGCCACTCCCTAATGACCAAGTATTCAAATCCATGCGTCTACAGGAGTCATTTCTATTCAAACCACCACAATCATCATGCATCATGGCATGGGGGCATGTGCCTGTGATGCCAGTACTTGGAAGGTAGAGGCAGGACGATCAGGATCTAGTCAAGGCCAGATTCAGCTATATGGCAAGTTTATGGCCTCGCAAGATACACAAGACCCTGTTTTGAAAAAAAAAGTAATTAATAATTGATTTATTATTATTATTATATTAAAATATTATATAATTATAGCACTACAACCAAGCCAGGCATGGACAGTCACAAGCTTGAAATCAGCCTGAGCTACATAGCAAGTTCAATACCACCCTAGGTTACAAAGCAAATCTTTCATTAATTAATGAAATATTGGCCCTTTTGAAATTGTCCAGGGAAGAGAAAAATGGACTTACATGCATGATCTGGGTTCATTCTTAGAATAAATGTTTCATTTTCTTTTTTAAAAATTTATTTATTATGTTTACAACATTCTGCCTCCATGTATGCCTGTACGCCAGAGGAGGGCGCCAGATCTCATTACAGATGGTTGTGAGCCACCATGTGGTTGCTGGGAATTGAACTCAGGACCTCTGGAAGAGCAGCCAATGCTCTTAACCTCTGAGCCATCTCTCCAGCCCTAAATGTTTCATTTTCAACACAGTCCTGATAAGCAACTCCCCAGTGGTTTGTGCCTTGCTGTCCAACATCACTTTAGAGTACAGAAATATGTCTAGGATTCCTGGTTGATGGGAATTTGATTTTAGTCCTATAGCCCTCATGTTTGTTTCCCTGCAGCTTGGCTAAACCATCACACAGACAAACTTGAGACCACCAACATTAGTTAACACTCCCCTAGGAAAATTCTAAGTTTCCATGGCAACATGCCCCTGGAACTGAGGTAATTATATGTATATAATGAAACAAAAAAGAAGTGATTGCTAGATCTAGCAGCCAGAGGTAGACATGAAGCTAAAATACTCACCCAGCTTCTGTCTAGAGGCCCAGTATACCCAATGGGACCAGGCATGGGGATGGCCTGGGAATTGAAGTGGCTCCAGCTTCCCTTGCTTCCGTAGTAACTGATGTAATAGACCCTCTGTCATCACGTTTCTTCTCTTTGCTGGTTGGTTGCAGGCATACATGTATTTGGGTGAGGGAGAGCGGTTGCTGAAAACTCTGATGAATGAAGATTCTTGGAGCCAGGCCTTTGAATATGCTACATTTTATAGTCTCAAAGCCCAGGTAAGAAACCACTGGAGGCTTAAAGTTGGCAATCCACAGAAGGAGTAGAAGTCATCTGTGTGTATCCCATACTCTCCTTTCACCTGCTGGCACAGATCCTTGCCCAAGACTCTAGAACCCCAAGCTTCTTGACTCGCTATAACTTGATCTCTTTCCTGCCAAGTAGGCTGACATCTTTATGAAATGTCTTTGAAACAGTGCACATAAATGACTAAACATTGCCTTTATGATACACAGCTCAATGCCAAACCCTACTCTGCAGCCTTCCTTGTGCAGGCCCCCAATAAACATTTATTTTTAATACTATGTCAAAGAACAGGAAGATTCTGTTGCTTTTTAGACACGTACTCCTCCACATTTATTGTTGGAGCACACCGAGTCTAGAGCACACTGACTACAGTCGAACACAGAATGCTTTTCCTCCCTCTCTCCCCATCTCCCTTAGGTTTCTTTTAATATGGGGCAGATGGTACTTGCCAAGAAAATGCTGCGAAAGGCACTGAAACTTCTCGACCGAGTATTTCCAACCAACTTAATCACCCTGCTTTTCCAAACACACGTGGAAAAGAACAGATTCTCCCACTTGATGAACCAGCATCCCCAGGAGGGCTCGGTGCCAGGGTAAGGGAAGGAGCTGGGGAAAGTGGAGGGTCTCATTTCCGTTCCCCAGATGAGAAGAGTTTCCACACAGTGTAAGTCTCTTCTCATGGCGTGGTGCTCCCGTAGCTCGAACACTCGTGTTTGGTTTGATCACTTATAGGATGGTACGGAGGCAGATTCGGTAAGGGTTTGCTGGCCAGGGCCAGGGTCCCTAGAGCACTTCACAAACAGCCTTTGTCAAAGAGTTCCAGGTGATAAAATACGGGATCCTTCACAAAGTGGCCTTCGTCAGGGTTTCTATTGCTGTGAAGAGACGCCATGACCATGGTAACTCTTATCATGGAAACACATTTAATTGGGTGGCTTACATTTTCAGAGGTTCAGTCCATTATCATCATGGTGGGACATGGTGGTGTGCAGGAAGACATGGTGCTGGAGAAGGAGCTAAGAGCCCTACATCTTGACCCTCAGACAACAGGAAGTGAACTGAGACAATGGATGTGGCTTAAGCATACATGGAACCTCAAAGCCCACATCCACAGTGACACACTTCCCCCAACAAAGCCACACCTCCTAATAGTGCCACTCCCTATGAGCTTGGGGGGCAGTTAAATTCAAACTACCACACAAAGTGAGCACCAAGTCTCTTTCTTATTCAAACAATGACTCTCCTCTGGATCCAGAATCAGATATCGGAACCAGTGTCTGTTCCTTAGAACCTCAGCAGCAAGCATTCCCTCTTCCATGCATTACTAAGATACTTCAAAGAAGACTAGCAGGCCTTGAGGACATCTGCCAAAGGATAAACTTCCCCAGCCTTCTATGAACTTGATAAGGGTTACATTAGGGATGGGTGCTCATTAATTTAAAATGTCATTAATTTAAGATTTGGTCTACAAATGAACAACAAATAAAAAAGTGATTGAACGGCTGAAGATGTCTCAGCGGTTAAGGATGCTTACTGAATAACCATAAAGACTAGAGTCTGGATCTCAGTACACAAAAACTAAGCCATGTATTGGGGAGCATGGCAGCAAGCATGCGGCATGGCGGGAGGAACAGCTAAGAGCTCACATTGTGAACATGGCACCAAGACCAGCCCCTGGCAACATACGCCCCCCAGTAAGGTCACATCTTCTAAGCTTCCCCAACTAACTGGGGACTGAGAGTTCAGATGCCAGAGACTGTGAGGGACATTTGCATTCAAACTACTACACCATGTATCCCAAAAATGGTTGTAACTCCAGTTCTGAGGGATCTGATATGCTCTTATACACACGTGTAGGTGTGGGTATCACATGTACCTATAAATGTACAAAACAAATAGATAAACTACAATGAATATTTAGGAAGAAGATACCAGTGGGGCTGGGAGCTCATTTCTGTAATCTTGGCACTTGGGGGACAGGCAGGGGAGCGCATGAGTGCTTGGAACCAACCTGCTAAGTTTTTATGAAGCACATTTTCTTCCTTATAAAATGGAGACCATGATATCTATTTTGTGATGACATGGGGCTTTTTTAAAAAAAAAAAAAAAAAAAAAAATTCCTTTTATCTGTGTGAATGTTTCTCCTACACGTATGTCTGTGTATCCTGTGCATGTCTGGTGCCCACTAGGGTCAGACGACGGTGTCAGATCCACCGCAAATGTATTTCGGGCAGTTGTAAGTCATCACACGGTGCTAGGAATCGAACCCGGGTCCTCGGCAACCAGCGCTCCTCCCCATAAGAGTTTAGATAAAAACACCTGCTCTTGTCAGGTATCAGTAATTAAGCGAAACTGGCTAAAGGTACACGGATGCCAATCATCCCACTCGAGTCTCTAGGAAAGGAGGGGATGGCTTGACCCCATTTCACACAGAAGGTGAAATTCAAATCAAGTCGCCAATTCAATGTAACCTACTTAAGTGCTTCATAAAAGTGAATGTGGTCGTCAGTCGTGGGTCGGGCCTCCAGTTCAGGTAAGGGCTCTGGGGGGATGAGCAGGAGGGCACTGGGAGCTCGAACGCGCGAGCCCGGTGGTGATGAGGCCTTCTCTGTCCATCTGCCGTCCCATGACAGGAAGAAGCTGGCTCTACTTTACCTGCAGTCTGCGTGCTTCTCCTTACTGTGGAAGATCTATAGCTTGAATTTCTTTTTCCACTACAAGTACTACGGCCGGCTGGCAGTGATGATGCAAGTGAATGCCTCACTGGAAACTCAAAATTATTTCCAGGTACGTTGGTAGCTGCCCTTGAAACGGCTGATTCTCATTTAGAAAACCACAAACCTCCTAGCCAAACCCAGTGGGGAATTGGAAATCACACGGTCGTAGTGGAAGCCTCTCTGGCCGGTTGGTTTTGACAGCAGCTAACAAACACTTTGGCCCCAGATGACTCCATGGTCAGAAATCAATAAAGAGTCAAACAGCTTTTGCTTCTGCGAGTTGGAAATGATATTATAGGACACAACGTGAAAAAAAAACTTAAAATTCTTAGACAGCAGAAGAGAATATCAACATAATTAACATTTGCATTGAAAAACTACAGTTCTACAAACAGCAGCAAAATACAATGAGAAGTGGGGCACTGTATTAAGTTTTTGTAAATATCTTAATAATATTAATATATATTAATAATATCTTTTGCTTTATAGCACCACTGTGTTTTTTTGTCTTATTTTGTTTGTTTGTTTGAGACAGGGTTTCTTTGTATAGCCCTGGCTGTCCTGGAACTAGCTCTGTAGACCAGGCTGGCTTTGAACTCACCGAGATTCACCTACCTCTGCCTCCCAAGTGTTGGGATTAAAGGCGTGTGCCACCATGCATGGCTTGTGTGTCTTCTTTTGCTTGAGGAAGATTTATGTTTCTTTGAGACAGGCCTTTCTGTAGCCCAGGCTGCCTCCCAGTTTGCAGCGTCTTGAGTACCTGGATTACAGGTATGTGCCACTAGGCCTGCTTGGATTATTAGATGTTAATTTCATCTCCACTGAAGTTTAGTATCACATATGATGCTTCTGGAAAACTCAGTAGTATACTGCAGAGAATGTGAGCTGAAGAAGCTAAACGTAAAAGGATGTCTCTCTTTCAAAAGACGGAATCAAGCCACGGACAGTTTCAGACAACAGAAGGACCAGATGAGAACCCAGAAAGTAGTTTCCAGACCCCATCCATACTCAGTGGGACCACCAGCAAGCCACACAACTTTGAGTTTTCTTTCTGCCCCACAATCTGAAACAGTTGGACTCTGTTCTCTTGGTCCACACACAAGGAGTCAGACTGTTGCTGTTGTAAATTGTTCATTTGCCCTCTACCACGTGTGACCATGCTTCCTTTGAGGTGGCAGTTGGCATGTTCACACCAGGAATCTGGAACTTGCAAAGAACAACTTTGTGATTTAACAAGTACCTAGAGACTTGCCTTTGACAGAATTTGAGAACTTCCAGGAAAAAAACATCCTCCTGGAGAAAAGCCCTAAAAACCCTCCCCTGTACAATCACACCCCAACATATAATATTTGAATTATTAGATAATCTATTATTAGCCTATTCTCTTGTATTTTTTCAAAGCAGTTTATAAAATGAATTTTGTATTATGTATGCACATATGAGAGCATGTATATACGTGTGTGTGTATGTGTGTGTGCGCGCGCGCGTGTGTGTGTGTGTGTGTGTGTGAACTGATTCTTCAGGAGGAATTCTTTTGTCCTTGGCTTTCTCTAAGCATTTATATTCTGAGGCAACTTTCTCATTTTAAAGATTTGATTAAAGAGTAAGCAACTTCTCAAGTCTCCAATTATGTTTTAAATTAGTCTTTCCTTTATCAAACTAACCAAACCATTACAACCTTTCTTATGCATTATAAAAGTGATGCATAAGAAGGGATAATTCTCTCTCAAATGCTTCCTCTGCCTTAACATGACTACCTTCTGTGTAGACCTGATTTCACCTGCTCTGTTTTGTGCTGTGCAGCCATTTATCCACACAGGTAAACTATTGTTTTTATTTTTCATATGAATTAAAATGTTCATATTTCATTTGGTGAATGTTTAGAAGCAAGACCACAAGGCTTATTCTGGAAGGCCCAGGAAGTAGGTGGCAGACGCCTAATTTGACTTCTGCACCTAAGCCACTGGCCCCATGGCTAGCTGCAGTCCACGTGTAGTGAACAGAGTTTCCTGGTAGCACTGATCAGGGCTTTCACCTCAGGATTCTTTCTCAGTCTCCCGCCTTCTCTCTCTGTTACTGACCTTCTAGATCATCAAGGCTTTTCTGGACTATTCATTGTACCACCATTTGGCTGGATACGAGGGCGTGTGGTTCAGATATGAAATCCTGGTCATGGAGCAGCTCTTGAACCTCCCCACGAAAGACGATACCATCGAAATCATAGCTTATGTGGCTGACACACTGGGCCATATCAAGTTCTTAATGGGCCATCTGGACTTGGCCATTGAGTTAGGTAAATGCTAGCGAGGTAAGAAAGGGCATAAAATTACATGCAATAACCTCAAACGCATCACCACTGCTTTCTTCCTAGGTTCCCGAGCCCATAAGATGTGGTCTCTTCTCCAGAATCCCAACAAGCACCACATGGTTCTCTGCAGACTGGTTAAATCTCTCTTCTTGAAAAGCAGGTATTTTTCCTAAAGCGTTTTCCAAAGTTAGGATTCTCCTTTCCTTTCTGTTTCTGTGACAGAACACTACCCCCAAAACAGAGGGGGTTGTGCTGGTGTTTATCCTAGCTGACACTTCCAGGTCACAGTCCATCGCTGAGGAAATTCGGGGCAGGAGCTGAAGCAGGAGCCTGAGCAGAAACCATGGCTTCTTGCTGGCTTGCTCTTTTTTCCCCCCCTTTCTACCAGTCCAAGATCAGCTAGCTTTTAGAATCAGAAATCGTATCTCCCCGAGTAGGCCAGGCCCTCCAGCATCAATTAATAATCAGGACAAGCCCCGACAGACATGGCCACAGGCCCATGTGATCTAGGCAGTTCCTCAATCAGGAAGCCTTTCTCTCTGATGACTCCAGGTTATCTGGATGACAAAACAAACAGGACAAGCAGCGGGCAGGCAGCTGTTTGGGAGTTCTGGCTTATTTCACCCTGATCATAGCATAGGAAAGGGAGCACAGTTTATGGCAAGATAATGTATAACTGTCACCTTTCACCTATTAATATTACATCACTTCCTCCCACACATGTAGTGATGAGGCGAGCAGGCCTGCTTTTCGTCCCGCCCGGCTCCCGCACGGCTAGCTTTACCCGAAATAATTACACGGAAACTGTATTCTTTTAAACACTGCCTGGCCCATTAGTTCTAACCTCTTATTGGCTAACTCTTACATATTCTTTTAGCCCATTATCTAATAAACTGTGTATCACCATGGGGTCATGGCTTACCAAGAAGATTCTAACCCACGTCCATATTGGGCTTCATGGAGTCTGCCTGACTCTGCTTTCTTTCTCCCAGCATTCTTTGGGGTCTACTCCACCTATCTAAGCTGCTGTCCTATCAAAAGGCCAAGGCAGTCTCTCTATTAACCAATGAAAGTAACACATAGACAGAAGACCCTCCCACATGACACACACATACTGTTAATTTTTTTTTCTTTTTTTTGGTTTGTTTTGGTTTTTTGAGACAAGGTTTTTCTGTGTAGCCCTGGCTATAGACCAGGCTGACCCTAAACTCATAGCAATCTGTTGTAGGATATTTTACTCTTTTGACTTTTTTGAGGGGCCTACCACCCAGCTCCCAGATAAATCACACACAGGGGCCTTATTCTTAGTTATGAATGCCTGGCCTTACCTTGGCTTGTTTCTTACCAGTTTTTCTCATCAACCTGTCTACCTTTTGCCTCTGGACTTTTTCCTTTCTCTATATCTGTATACCTTTTTTTTTTTTTTTTTTTTTTTTTGGTTTTTCTAGACAGGGTTTTTCTGTAACTTTGGAGCCTGTCCTGGAACTAGCTCTTATAGACCAGACTGGCCTTGAACTCAGAGATCCACCTGCCTCTGCCTCCCGAGTGCTAGGATTAAAGGCATATGCCACCACCGCCCAGCATATTTCTGTATACCTTTCTTTGCTTCTTTCTCCGTGGCTTGCTGTATAGCTGGGTGGCTGGCCCCCTGATGTCCTCTTCTTCTTTTTCTCTTACTGTTCCTTGCTCTCTTCCACTCAGATTTATACTCTGCCTGCCAGCCCTGCCTATCCTTGCTCCTACCTTGCTATTGGCCATTCATCTCTTTATTAGGACAATCAGGTGTTTTAGACAGGCACAGTAATACAGGTTCACAGAGTTAAACAAATGCAGCATAAACAAAAGTTACACACCTGAAAACGATATTCCCCAACAACAATTCATCTACTTCTGCCTTCTCTCCCCACAATGCTGGAATTAAAGTTGTGCACCACCACACCTGGCTCTTTTAAACTCTTAATGAAGTTCATTAAATTCTTTTAAGGGAGTTATTTTCTGTTCAACTCTGAACTGGTTGCTTTAGCCAGGAACAGAAGGGCAATCAATTATACCTATTGTAAGAATTAGGCCTCCAACCCTGTCAAGGCCAGGGGAATTAAAAAAGCATTGTACATGCCCAAAGAACAGCAACAAAGACTTGAAGATCCTGGCCAGTTTGGCCTGACTCTAATCCCCCAGGTATGAAAGAGCCCTAAAAGAACAATTTGGGGTGGGGGATCCAGTTAGAGACTTAGCTTCTAGTTCTGAGCAAAGGAAGGTTTGAAGTCTATTTTTTGTTTGTTCATTTTGTTTTGTTTTGTTTTTCGAGAGAGGATTTCTCTGTGCAACAGTGCTGACTGTCCTAGAACTCATTCAGTAGACCAGGCTGGTCTCAAACTCAGATTTGCCTACCTCTGCCTCCCGAGTACTAGGATTAAAGGTATATGTCACCACCACCACCCCCAGCTGAAGTCTGTTTAAGAGTTGTATTTGTTTCTGAATTACTGTTTATGATCAAGACTAACCTAGGCCTGGACCCAACTCGACCCTTTGCTCTCACTGCTTTTTAACCCCACCCAGATACAAGCATTTGGTCCAGGTCCTCGGATGGCTGTGGGACCTCTCTGTAACAGAGGAGCACATCTTCAGCAAGGCATTTTTCTATTTTGTCTGTCTGGACATCATGCTTTATTCTGGTAAGCATGGGATTTATTCTGGCTTTTGGAATGAAAAGAAATTGGGGTGGATCCCCTAGCTGGAATGGTGAAGCAGCCCTAAGGGGTTTGGGGCCACCTCGTTAGTGTTCAGGGATGGAGAAAGCCTGGTGATGTGACTCAAGGAGCTATTTAGCAATTAAAGAAAGCAGTAAACACCGGGTGGGGTGGTGCACATCTTTAACCGCAATACTCAGGAGGTAAAGGCAGGCAGATCTCTGAGAGTTTGAGGCCAGCCTGGTCTACACGTGAGTTCCAGGACAGCCAGGGCTACATAGTGAGACTGTCTCGAAGAGGGGTGGGGAGGCGTGCTTGGGGGTGAGGTGGGGTTGGGGGGGACAGTGACAAAATAAAATCTGGAGATAAACTTGTAGGTCTGAGCTGTCAGATCGATTTCTGAATGAGTGTAGTCATGGGAACTGTTTTTACAATGTGCCTTTTACTAGGAGCATTCAGCGTTCACAGGATTTTCCTAAGGCTTCATGTTGACAAGCATGCCCAACACATGGCCTATAGGCTACATACCTATGAGTGTGGCCTGTCCTTGTTTGGTCTCTGTTGCTGTGATGAAATACCATGAGCCCATGAGCAGCAGCAACTTGAGGAGTGTAGAAGGAGCTGCAGGCAGGCCTGCTTTTCATCCCACCCAGCTCCTGCATGGCTAGCTTAGCCCCAGAATAATTACATAGAAACTGTATTCATTTAAACACTGCCTGGCCCATTATATCTAGCCTCTTCTTGGCTAACTCTCATATCTTGATTAACCCATTTCTGTTAATGTGTGTAATTAATCAATGAAAGCAACATATAGAAAGAAGACCCACCTACATCATTTCCCCTTTTTCTGTTTAAAAAAAGAAAGGCTTTCACTTTAACATAGTAAAATTACATATAACAAAACAGTTATCAAGCAAGAATTACAGTTACAATATTTAGATCTATTTTATCTTTTATCATAACTAAGGAAAACTAAAACTATGACTATCCATTCTTCAACTCCATCAAAGACTCCAGAAGGATATAATATTACCTAATTAAACAAGAAATAAGCAACTTTCAAAACTCTAGAAATGACAGAGACATCTCGCTGTCTGGACAGTCACGCAAAGTTTCTCTGTACTGTTGGGGCATCCATCTTCAGTCTACAGGCCCCTAGTATCCCGCAAACATTTCCATGAAGCAGGAAAATTCAAAGACAGTCACTTTTTGCCATGTCCTGCAGAATGTCTTGTAGACTCTTTCATAAATCAGAAACCCCAAAAGACTACCTCACCTTTAGGCAAGTTCAGCAGTCCTCTCTCTGCAGGTTCTTCCTGTCCAGTTTATGCATCAGTCCAGGCAAGAGCAGTTTCTTGCCCAAATAGCTATCAAACTCCATAAGGAGCCTCTTCGGTGCCCATCTTCCTCTTGAAATAGCTGGTGCTGCCAGGAGCAGACGTGTCTCATTGTCATGAAAAGCCCTAAATTATTAAAACATTAAATGTCATATTTTGTAGTCTTTGAAAGATATGAAGAATGCCTATCTAACTGAAATATATCTCTATATATCTAGAAAATTTAACTAACATGACTACAAGCTTGACTAGTATTGATGATTATCCATTAATAACCTATATTTCCTAATTATACATTACATTTTTAAAATGAAATACACAATCAAAATACCTTAATATTAGAAATACATATACATATAACAAAGCTGACCTTAAATTATATCAATGAAGCAAAATTTATATCAATGTAAATTATTCATATCTATGTCATATCCCCCTTTTAATGTAAAAAAATTTATAAACAATATCTGGGAATATGGACGAAATTATTTCTCTCCAAAATTCTTCCTGCTGTATAGGGCGCTGTTAATCAGGTCTTTCATGGTATATCCTGTTTGTCAGGTTCATCTCAGTCAGCAGTTGAGTGAAGTAATTTTTTGAGGGTGTTCACAGCAACCTTTCAGGAGGGCGTGGTCTATCATACCATATTGGTCTAGAAGCAATCCACAGGGTCTCATCCTCTGTGAAAACAAAAGAAGAAACTCTTTTCCAAAGCATGATATCCTTAGATCCAAATTCTGAAGATACCTTTAGAACATATATGCAGGTTCAGCTTAGCAGCCCATTTAATGAGATTTTTTTTGTACTTAGCTCCTTCATAGTCAAAAAATTCAAAGAAAACACAATAATACAAAGAATCCAGACTCTCTGTGAGTTTTCCATTTTTATGTGGCTTATTTTTACTCTATCACTTTATTCTGTCTCTTTAAAGACTTTGCCCTTTTTTTAAACCATTAACTTTGTTCTCTATATTCTTTTTCTTCTCTCTCCCAAGCCTATGTACACTCACCCAACACTGTGACCCATTTAGAGGTCTTTTATGTCTGAATCCGTCCTGTTGTGAATCTGTAATTCTTTACTGTCCAGGAGCACTTCTTAAAATGCTAAGCGCTTCTTAAAAACTTAACTTGTGCCATGTAAGGGTAATACTGTACTGCCTGTTTCCTGCCCAGTCTAAACCTTAACTGCACTGTTATTATAATTACAATAGTTCCTGCCTGAGTTCAGCACAGTTCATCATGGCAGAGCATTCCTGCCTCAGAGCCATTTGGTGTCCCTGAGCTGCGCACAGTTCCAGGCACACAGCAAGTCCACATTGCCATCAAGCAAGCTGTAGCAGTTTAACTCTGAGAATGAGCTTTTAATCTGAGTTACATCCAAATCTGCCACGCTGAGCACTGCGCTGCCTGGAAACACCTCTCAGTATGGTGGCAGAAATCCGCCATGCTCTCCCGCTTGCCTAAGCCTGATCCCACAGTCTGCCCAGGCAGGGAGCGCCGAGCCATTGGCATGGTCTCAGAGTACTTTCTTCCTGATCCCGAGCAGGAACACAAACATCCAGTCTCATAAAAGCCATTGGAGTTTGCACTGGCGGCGCAGCCCAGGAAGCTGCGTTTGAAAATGGTGCAGCTTTTTTCTTGCTGAGGCTGAGTCAGAAAAATTTCTCTGCAGCACATTCTAGCAAAAGCAAAAGGCTGTGTTAAACTCTCTTTTTTTTAAAGCCCTCTCAGGTTTTTAAGTGGATATTACAATATATTGTAATGGAGTTGCAGTCCATTATTAAGGCAAGTCAGGGCAGGAACTCAGGGTAGGAACCTGGAAGCAGGAACTGAAGCACCATGGAGTATGGCTGCTCACTGACTTGTTCTTCTGGGTTGCTTAGCCTGTTTTCTTATACAGCCCAGGACCACCTGCCACAATGGCTGGGCAGGACCCTCCCATGTCAGTGCCTACAGGACTGAAGGAGGCGTATCCTCAATTGAGGTCCCTTTCCTAGATGACTCTAGTTTATGTCAAGTTGGAAAAACAAAACAAAACAAAACAAAACAAAACCCAGCACATGGCCCAACACAGAATTGTGAATTTACTTAAAACTTCATGAGATCATTTTTGTAACTTGGTTGCATGATTCTCAAGCATGAACATCGTCGGTGATAGCGTGCTACTTTGTTAAAGTGTTTGCATGCCTACAGTGGTTGGCCTGTTGAGTATGACAGTTACAGGCATTAGTCCCTGATGGTAATGTCAACACAACGCAGCGCTCGCCTCAAAGAGGATCAGAGTCTATTCTGGAGCCAAATACGAGCGATGATGGCCCAGGAACACAATTCCATGTTCTAACATGGAACCAGTTCCGTGAACTCTTTTATAACAATATCACAAGGAAAGTCATAAATCAAGGTGCTTTTCAAATACACAGGTGGGAACATCAGAGGGACCCATTACAGTAAAGTAGATGAATCTCAGCCACAGGCCTCAGATGTCTGAAGACACCCCCAGCTTTAAGGCTAAGTTGGTAGAAGATAGTGGTCTGCTAAGTTAAAAACATTTCAAAAGGTTTTCGTATGTCAGTCACAGATTATTGGGCCCAACACAAAAGTGGGCAAGGAATGACTATTTAAGATGCTAAAGATAGTCCAAGATCAAATGTACCTGCAACATCCTAACTCTCTATATCACTGAAGCTCTCCAGTCAGTCTCTGCAGACATCTTATTTCCAGGAACCCTCAATCACAGTGATTTGGAAAACAAGTTCTTTCCTCTAAATAGCAATGAGTAGGTGGCCCCCACGTTAAACCAGAGGGACCAATCCAGAGTCTGTTCTCCACACACAATTCACAATGGGGAGACACATGTTGCTACTAGTAAGGGACCTATGGGTGAAAAAAAACCTGAGGATTCCTGGACTACCAGGACTTTTTATAGCTGGGCACGGTCTCTTCTATGGAATCGGGCTGTGTATCCATAAGAATTCAGAATACAGCCAAGATTTTGACAAATACGGGCTAATGCAGCAATGTGATTGCTGAGACCCACAGGATCCTTTGAATCCTAAAATGATCAGATACTATGTTCCCTGCAGTGGGAAATTCTATTGGGGACTAAAGACCAGAAAGACACACACACACACACACACACACACACTCCACCATGCCATGCTACTGCAAGACACTCTGCTTCTCTCTCCTCTAGGCTTCATTTACAGAACATTTGAGGAATGCTTGGAATTCATAGACCACAACGAAGACAACAGAATCCTCAAGTTCCAGAGTGGTCTCCTCCTGGGTCTTTACTCCTGCATAGCGGTCTGGTAACAATATGTTGCATACCATTTTGTTTCTAAAGTGAAAAAGTTAAATCCCAAAGAACAGTTCAGTGAAATACTTTAAAAGAAAGAAAGCACATTGACCGTTTGCATCTGAGACAGTTTAAAGGTGCCAGGGACTATTCATGGAGTAGGCCTCACGAGGGACCCGCTAGAAACCTTCAGCTAAGGACAGAAAAGTAGTTCTCACTCTTGTCTCAATGGCAGAGCAATACAGAGCTTTCGGCACAGCCGGGAGTTTTGTGTCTGTGGGTTCGTGAACCTAGGAGAGAAGCTATGAGGTTTGGGGGAGAGCTGGGGCTGTCCCCAGCATGTGGAGGCTAGTCATTATTCCTGACACGGTAAGTGTGACAGCTGTTTACACAGGTTAGGCTGCAGTCGCTATTATCAGGAATCTAGCGACGCTGCAGGAAGATGTGCATGGCATTTGTGAATGCTGCACCATTTGATGGAAGAGTTTTGAGCATCTGTGGGGCTGAGGGCATCCTGGCACTGGGGGGGGGCTACTGAAGGACAACTGGACCAGTTTCTAAGGAGTGTTATGGTTCGGGCACATGAAGAAATAGCGCCAGTTGCCCACATATATCTGCCCAGATCTAAACAGATGGAAAAACGTTATTTTGAGGTAGTGACGTTGGAGGATATGGGCTATATAATATCTGCAGGGAATAACACTAAGGCTCCAGTATTAGACCTAACTACTCTGCAGCAGGACATTGTAGAAACCGTGGGTTTCCCCATCAAGGAAGGCCTCATCCTGTCCGATGGCGGAGAAACTCAATGCCGTGTTCCCTGTCAGCTTAACTGGTTCTTACGATGGAGATGGCATAGGTACTGAGCAGGGCTTATCTCAGTCGCTCCCAAATCACTAACCAAGTCACCCCTTATTGGAGAAGTGAGAGGAACAGGGAAATAAGCCCAGACCTTTGGCCCCGCTGGAGTCTCTCACAGAGAACAGTCAGGCAAGAAGCACTGTATTAGCTTGATAAGCCTGAAGCTGGGGCCATACCTTCAGAATGAGATAAACAGTACAGCCTCAAGGTAAATCAGGAAAAAAACAAATTCCGTGTTACCTCCTAGACTGAGACCCTGTAATGGTAAAAATAAAATGCTGCAGGTCCCGGAGTGGCGGCAGAGGGCAGTGGGCCATGAGACCACGGCAGGCCACGAAGGCAACCAGTCCCAGGCAGGGAGCCGCATGGTGGGTGAGAGACCAAGACGGATAGGCACTCCATGCAGAGTGAAGTTGGATATTTATTTAGTGGGTTATGGAAGGGAAGGAGAGAAGGGGGAAGAGCAGAGAGAGAGAGAGAGAGAAACAGAGAGGGGGAGGGGAGAGGTGGGGAAAAGAGAGAGAGGCAGAAGTTGCCTCTTTGGGAGAGAGACAGAAAGATCTCAGACTGGAAAGCGGAAGGAACATCTGCCTGCCTCTGGGGTGGAGGGAGTGGGCAGGGCCTGTCTCTTTCAGGGACAGGACAGACCTTACAGACCCCCACCCTCTTTTCCATATCACGTCATACACAGCCTTGTCTAGTATGACTCATCAAAAGTTTTGTCGTGAAATTAGAGCAACTCCATACTGAAGTCGAATGACTTTTGATTAAAAAAACATATTTGAAAGCGAGCATAGTGGTTCACTCCTATGCTCCCACTACGTGGGAGGCAGAGGCAGAAGGATCAAGAGTTCAGAGGGAGTTGAAGACTAGCCTAGGCTACATGAGATCATGCTTTAAACACAAAATTAAATTACATAGGAGAACTTAACATCCAGAAAATTACCTGTTATGCCCAGATTGTGGGGAACACCCCCGAAAGATCACCATGGAGACCAAATCCATATGCAAAAGCAAAGAGTGTTTATTCAAGTTCGAGCCTGGACTCTCCATCTGTTGGATGCAGCAGTTGAGAGCCAAGTGCCCAGCCCAGGCAGAGTAGGGTTTTTTTTTTTTTTTTTTTTTTTTTTTTTTATCATAACAGACTTTCACTTCCTTCTTAGGCTTTGCAGCAGTTATATTTTGTTGTTGAGATTTCCATAATGTGGTC